TAATACAAAAGAGAAAACAAAACCAAAAAGCAAACCAACACAAAAAGGTAGCATCGGCTGGGAATGTGGCATCGTGGTAGAGTGCTCGCCTAGCATGCATGAAGTTTTCGGTTTGATTCCTCAGTACCACATACACAGAAAAAGCCAGAAGTGGTGCTTTGGCTCAAGTGGTAGAGCTCTAGCCTTGAAGCAAAAGAAGCTCAGGGACAGCGCCCAGGCCCAGACTTCAAGCCCCAGGACTGGCAAAAAAAAAAAAAAGATAGCATCAAGGTTTTTATGTTTCTTACAAAAAGAAATAAGTTCTGGTTGGCTAATACCCTAGTTCTCAGATAACTACAGTTAATGATCACAGCTGGTTTTACTGTGTAGAAGGAGGCTTTTTCTAGCATCCAAGCTTAATCAGAGCGTGTTATTCAGATATGAGGACTGGCCTAAGGGCGACTTGGCTGCAGTGAGAGATTCTGTGAAAGGCTGTGGGGAGCCGGGGACAAAAAACACTCACTGACCACAGGCTGAGGCCTCTGCTGTTCCGATGGCTGCGGAGAGCGCGTGCGGACCGGCAGACCCTGTGAGAATGGGGGCTTCTCTGATCCTTCAGCACGCTCCTGTCAGCAACTTGATGCAAACCCAGTGTTGACCAGCATGTGGTCATAGGAGATGGCGGCTTGCATGGGGGCCAGTGGCTCACACCTTCATCCTTCCCGGGAGGCTGAGATCTGAGGATCTCATCTTGAAGCCAGCCTGGGCAGAAAAGGCCGTGAGATTCTTTGTCTCCAATTAACCTCCAAAAAAAGCCAGAAGTGGAGCTGTGGCTCAAGTGGTAGAGTACTAGCCTTGAGTGATAGGCTAAAGTCCTGAGTTCAAGCCCCACTACTGACAGAATGTTTTTGTTACTTTATGCTTGTTTTAGAGTTGATGTACAGCAGGGTCACCTTTACATATGTCAGGCACTATAATTACCTTTCCTTCCTTTTGCACACTCTCATCTGCTCTCCCATCCCCTCCCTACCATCTCCACCCACGAGTTGTGTCGGTTCACTTTCACCAATGTCCAGTGCGCCAGCGGGCTCTGCTGCTGCACGCTTCCACGCGGTTCCCACTCTGTGCCCTCCCCCTCCTCCCTCACATGTGCACGTGTGTTCACCGTGTGTGAGCTAAACAATACAGAGTCATCAGAATTTAAGAAGAAGGTCCTTTGTTTCCACATCTTTGGAGTTCATTTCAGTATGTTTATTTTATATACATGTGAAGAAATGCCTGGGTATTACAACTTGGTGCTTTTCTCCTAAGACTACCCTCTTTTGGTCTCATTGTCTGTGAGTGTCTAGAATTCTGTATAATTTGTCATGTCTCATTGCATTTTAAGTCTCACTTCTGCATGCCGGGGAGAACATAGGCCATTTGTCTCTCTGAACTTGGCTTACCTTACTTGATTTGTTCTAGTTCCATCCATTTCCCTGTGAATGGCATCATTTTATCCTTCCTAGTGGCTGTGTAAAATTCCATTGTACATTGGTACCACATTTTTTGGATCCCTTCATCTATTGTGGGGCCTCTGGGTTGTTTCCGTGTCTTGGCTGTTGTGATCAGTGTGGCAATGAACATGGATGTGCAGGTGTCCCTATCGTATCCCAGTTCATGATCAAGGTAAATGTCCAGGAGTGGTATGGCTGGTCTATGTTAGTTTTTTGAGAAACGTCCAGACTGTTTTCCAAAGTAGTTGTTTTAGTTTACATTCCCACCAGCAGTGCAGGTAAGGTTCCTTTTTCTCTACATCCCCACCAGCATTTGTTGTTGTCAGAGTTCAAAATGTTGGCCAATCTAACTGGGGTAAGATGGTATCTCAGAGTTGTTTTGATAAGCATTTCCCTTATGGCCAGGGATGATGAGCATTTCCTCATGTGTTTCTTTGCCATTTTTATCTATTTTTCTGAGAAGTCTCTTTTTAGCTCCCTTGCCTGTTTAGTGATTGGTTTATTAGGTTTGGGAAGGGTTAGTTTCTTGAGTTCCTTGTATATATTGAATATTAGGCCTTTGATGTATTGCTGGTAAAGATCTTTTCCCAGTTGGTTGGCTGTCTTTCTAGTTTAGTGGCTATGTCCTTAGCTGTGCAGAAGCTTTTTATTTTAATGTAATCCCACTTGTCAAGTCTTGCTCTTATCTGCTGTGCCCCTGAGACTCTATTCAGGAAGTTTCTAATGTCTCTGCTCTCCTCTCTCTTGCAGTAGTTTCAGAGTTTCAAGTTTGATGTTGAGGTCTTTCATCCACTTTGAGTTGATGTTAGTGCATGGTGACAAGCAGGAATCCACTTTGTTTTCTGCATATGGCTGTTCATTTCTCCCAACACCAATAGCTGAAGAGGCTATGTTTTTTCCATGTTTATGTTCGTTACAGACATAGCTTTTTTTTAAAGCTAGGGGAAAAAAATGCTGGGTGCCAGTGGCTTACTTCTGTAATCCTAGCTATTCAATAGTCTGAGATCTGACTAGTGAGACTCAAAGTTAACCTAGGCAGGAAAGTCCACAGACTCTTGTCTCCAATTAACCAGCAAAAAGCCAGAAGTGAGTCCAGCACCAATGGCTCACACCTAGCTACTGGGGAAGCTGAGATCTGAGGGTCGTAGTGCAAAGCTAGCCCTGGCAGGAAAGTCCATGAGATTCTTATTTCCAATTAACTACTCCAAAGAAGCTGGAGGTGGAACCATGGCTCGAGTAGTAGAGCACTAGCTTCATGGGGGAAAAAAGCTGAGAGACAGAGTCCAGGCCCTGAGTTTAAGTCTTATGACCGGCACCAAAAATTAAAATAAAAATAAATAAATTAATTTAAAAATAATCATGGTCTGTGTCTAGAACAACCCAGAGCGGTGTGGGTTGTAGGAGAGCTACAAAACAGGAGCACACTGACCAGGCTGAGACCTGCAAGTGGCTGAGCGGCTTCTGCTGGCCTGTGATCCCTTGGATTTTCTGTGGAATCTCCCGGGGAGCTGGAGGACAAGAGAACGAAGTGCCCGTGTCCCCTGACGCACTCTTCTTTCTTAAAAAAAATTTTTTTTCCAGTTGTAGGGCTTGATCTCAGATCCCAAGTGCTGTCCCTAAGCCTCTTTGTGCTCAACGCTAGTACTCTACCACTTGAGCCACAGCTCTACTTCTGGTTTTTGAGTAGTTAACTGGAGAGAAGAGTCTCATGGACACTTTTCTTCCCTGCTTGGCTTTAAACTGTGATCCTCGTATCTCAGTCTCCTGAGTAGCTAGGATCACTGGCAGTGCCCATCATCTGGTGCCCTGGAGCACATTTCTAAGTCCTTCTCTCTCATGCCTGAGGACACTTTGTATGAAGAGCCCTGTGATGTTGACATGCTCCCCACTTTATGGCCCAGGAAACTGAGCTGAGTCGGGTAACTTGGCCACGTCTGTCCTTAGTGAGGCACTGTGAATTACTCACCTAAGAGATGTTGGCACAATAGTGGACATTCAAGCACGTGACAGGCCACAGGGCCCCGTGGGAAGGTGTGGCCTGGTGGGAGAGCCTTGCCTTTGCCGACCCCTGTGCAGACTGGGTGGGTGGGGACCAGTCATTTCTTGGGGCTTCAGTATAAAATGGGATTATGTCACCTCAGGGAGTTTTTTTTGTGTGAGGATTAAAAGAGACTGTGGTTATTGCCTTTGACTTGATAAAAGCCACCAAAAGAAGATCTCAACTCCTGTTGGGTCTTTGGACTTTGCATGTGTTAGGCAAGCGCTCTGCTCACTGACCTGCATCCCTAGCCTGGTTGTTCAGTTTTTGTTTGTTTGTTTTTGGTGCTGGTCCTGGGGCTTGAACTCAGGGCCTGAGCACTGTCTCTGAGCTTTTTTTGCTCAAGGTAGGTGCTGCATTGTTTAATCCACACCTCTTCTTCCAGATTATTTTTTGGTGGTTAATTTGATATAAGAGTCCCACAGACTTTCTTGCCCTGGCTGGCTTTGAACCGCGATCCTCAGCTCTCAGCCTCCTGAGTAGCTAGGATTACAGGCGTGAGCCACTGCCCCTTGGCTTGGTTGTTCTGTTTTTGCTACTGTATGTTTGTGTTTTCCCGTTTCTGACCCTAAACATGACAATCAGGAAAACAAGCTCGTGTTCTCCCATCCTTCGTCCCCAGTACTGAGGTTTGAACTCAGAGCCTCATGCTCTCACTTGGCTTTTTGGCTCAAGGCTGGTACTCTACCATTTGAGCCACACTTCCACTTCTGACTTTTTGCTGGTTAATTGGACATAAGAGCCTTCCAGATGTTTCCACTCAAGCTGGCTTTGAACTGCGATCCTCTGATCTTAGCATCCTGAGTAGCTAGGGTTTACATCCCACATTTTGTAAATGAAAGTTGAGGCTTGGAAATTCAACCAATTTGGCCTAACGCATTCAGGTGGACCTTGTCAGGACCAGGGTAAATTCTTCAGCTTCCAGTTCTTGCACTTTGAAGCTTTCAGTGCATCTAATGGAAACCAAAAGCTTGATTTTCCTAATTATAAAAGAAATGTCAGATGATAATAGGAAATATATAGAAATAGGAAAAGCACACGAAATAGCCTCGGGCAGCCGGCCTGGCTGCATTGCTTTCTGTCTTGGGTTTTTCCACTTGCATTATAATATGTGCCTTGTTCCACAGTCATTCAAATTCTTTGTAAACCATATTTTCAGTATCTGCCCAACAGTCTGTCAGCTGGAATCTGCCATCACTCACGCAAACAGTTCCCCATTGTTACACCATCTGCTTGTTTCCAGTTATTATTATTTTTTATTGTCAGCAGTAATGCTGTCAAGAACCTCTTTCTATTCAGAAAGCTTTTTTTTCTTTCCCTCTGTGTTTCCTATTTCCTGAAGATGGTTTCCCAGAAGTGGAATGACTGGTTCAAAGGTTCCTCCTAGTGAAAGTCTCTTCCTACACACAGATTGGCAATCATGGCGGCCTCTCCTGCCAGCAGCGCTGTGTGTCCCCTGCCTCACCGCCGTTTGCTTCTCTCCACAGTCTCATAAAGAGAATGGCGCAGAGCGTGGCAGAGGTCATGGAAGACTCCAAGGGGAAAGTCCAAGAGAATCTCCTGGCCAATGGAGGTAGGTCTGTCTAGGAGGGGTTTGTCCAGGCTGCAGCCACACAAGTCACAACAACATTCTGGGGCTCGGTGGAAGCCTAGGATGGTGGGCTAGACGAGAGCCCACACTATTAGTGCAACTTGCGTGACAGATCCTTCCTATCTTCCCTCCTTTCCCTTTCTTCCCTTCCCTTCCCTTCCTTTCCCTTCCCTTCCCTTCATCTCTGTCTCTGTCTGTCTCTCTCTCTTTCTGACTCCTTTCCTTCCTTTCTCTCTCCCTTCCTTCCCTTTCCTTCCTTCCTACCTTCCTTCCTTCCTTTTATGTGTCAGTATTGGGGCTTGAACTCAGGGCCTCATGCTCTCACTTGGCTTTTTTCCAATCAAGGCTGGTGCTCTACCACTTTAGTCATACCTCCACTTCTGGCCTTTTCTGGCTAATTGGATGTAAGAGTGTCTGGGACAAGGTGCTGGTAGCTTATGTCTATAATCCTAGCTACACAGGAGGTTGAGATCTGAGGATTGGGTTCAAAGCCAGTCTGGGCAGGAAAATCAGCGAGACTCTAAGCTCCAGTTAACTGCCAGAAAACTGAAAGTGGCACTGTGGCTCAAAGTGGTAGAGTACTAGCCTTGAGGAAAAGAGTTTGGGGATAGTGTCCAGGCCTGAGTTCAAGCTCCATGACTGACCAAAAACTAAGGGTGTCTGGGATTTGTGTGCGCAGGCTAGATTCATCCTTCCAAATAGCTAGGATTCTAGGTGTGATGCACCAGGCCTGCATAATATAACCTTCTTTACCCTGTTACTGAATTCCTCAGCAAAATTTGACATGAACAAGGTTCAGGAGAGTCTGAACCCTGACTCTTGTTCAACCACCACATTTTCTGTTGACCCCCCACCATCTACCCACACTTGGAAGTTTCACCCACTCTGCCCCAAACAAGGCATGAAGAACGGCTCATGTGCTGAGCAAGGTCTCACGGGTCTTTATTTCCTGTGCAGTAAACTGGAGAGCCCAAACCATTTCTGGTATCAGATTCTGTTCTGTGGGATCCCTGAGCTGACTGGACCCCAGTGAACGTGTTCAAGTGCGCAAGAAAGAAAAAACTTGGAGACTTTAGAAACTCTAGAATTAAATCTTTAAGTACCTCTAGAGATAACAAAACTGTGTGACCACGCATAGTTCTTGAAAGTGGTAGCATATATATCTAGCATATCATTTGGTATAATGATATTAAGTATATGTAAGAAAAATGTATGAGTATATATGTTATGTGTAATGTTATGTGCATATGTGTATGTTGAATATGTTGCACAAATGTGTGTATATGCATATGTGCATGTGTGTATCTATGCGTGTATATATATTGTATAGATGTGTGATTGTGTATGTGTAGATATGTGTGTATATATATATGCATATATATATATTCCTATTTTGTTCCTGGAAGCACAGCCCTTTGTGTTTACTGGTTAAAACCAACAAATGGAAGTGTTCCTGCTCCCGCATCTGAACTTGGCAGCCTATCTTGGCGGTTTAATAACTCCACCTTACTCTATTACAGGTTTGAAGGAGAAGATGAAATGTTTAAAGAGTAGGTTGTATGTGCATGTGTGTGCTATGCTGTGCTTAGAGGTGGCACCGTGTGGCCTGGGAAGGGTGGGGTGCAGTTCGGTTGGAGGGGTGCAGTGATCAGGTCATGACAGTTGTCCAAGTGACAACGTCGTGGCTTGGCCATGCTGCCCATATGACACAGAGAACAGCTACCTCACCCCCCCCCCCTTCTCCTGTCCCCTGCCTCTCCTGTGCACATCACATCCCACTTGGAAAGGAAAGGGTGCCTTGACTTCGCAGAGTTCAAGGTGACCTCTCCCATCGTCTAGCTGCTCCTGGCCTTGATGCCTGCCCCTGCCCTTGCTCTCCTACTCGTCCCGTTTGTGAGCCTTCTACCTTCAGGATAACGGCAACTTGGATGCCACACTCACTCTGTGTGGCCTTGGTCAGGTTCACATGGACCAGGAGCCCCCTGGGGTGGTACCCAAACAATCCACACTCAGTATACGTATTAGAAGAAGCTATTTTCTTTTTTTGTGGGGGGGTGGGGGGGTCTGGTTGTGGGGCCTGGATGCTGTCCCTCAGCTCTTCAGCTCAAGGCTAGCGCTCTACCACTTGAGCCACAGGGCCACTTCTAGCTTTTTTTTTTTTTTTTGCTTATGTGGTGCTGAGAAATCGAACTCAGGGCCTCAGGCATGCAAGGCAAGCACTCTACCACTGAGCCACCTTCCCAGCCCTCATTATTCTGTTTTTTTTTTTTTTTTTTGGGTCCGGTCGTGGGGCCTGAACTCTGGGCCTGGGTGCTGTCCCTCAGCTCTTCAGCTCAAGGCGCTCTACCACTTGAGCCACAGCACCACTTCCGGCTTTTTTCTTTTTGCTTATGTGGTGCTGAGGAATTGAACCCAGGGCCTCAGGCATGCAAGGCAAATGCTCTACCACTGAGCCACCTTCCCAGCCTCAGAAGAAGCTATTTTCATTATTTGTTTTTTCTCCAGTCCACTCAAGCTGGTGGAATGAAGGACCAAGTCTTTTTTTTTTTTTGGTTGGTATGGGGCTTGAACTCTGGGCGTGAGCACTATCCCTCAGTTCTTCAGCTCAAGGCGAATGCTCTACCACTTGAGCCACAGCACCACTTCCAGTTTTCTAGTGGTTTATTGGAGATAAGAGTCTCACGGATTTTCCTGCCTGGGTTTGCTTTGAACTGTGATCCTCAGATCTCAGCCTCCTGAGTAGCTAGGATTACAGGCGTGAGCCACCCGCGCCCGGCTTTGGACCAAGTCATTTTTGAGCAAAAACAAAAACAAAAAAATCTTCATGGCCAGACTCCAGTGGCTCAAACCTATAATCCTACTACTGGAATGCTGAGCTCTGAATGTTAAGATTTGAAGACAGCCTAGGCTGATAAATCTGTGAGACTCATCTCCAGTTAATCAGCAAAAAGTAGAAGTGGAGGTGAGGCTCCAATGATAGGGAGCTAGCCTTCAGGGAAAAAGATAAAATACAACTGGGCCCAGGAGTGGAGTTCAACCCCCAGGACACGTGCACGTGCACACACACACACACACACACTCACTCACACACTCACACACATAAAAATCTTTACAGATCGCAAGTTACAATTGCCTTCCAGAATTTAATCTGTTTATCTCACCATTTTTTGCTGATGGGCAGAAAAAAATACTTTTTCAAGCTGACCCAACTGATCTTTTCTCAGCAGGCAATGCATGGAGCGCTCAGCGGCTCTTCTATCTTCAAATACAGCTGAGATTTAAGTTGACATTAATATTAATGTTATGAATATTCATTATAATTAATCATATTAATATTACCATCTATTGTTGATATGATCATGCCCAGCCAGTCCAGATGGCACCAGCTGTTAAGTACTAGTTCCTTCCTTCTCCACTTTCTCCTCTTCCTCTTTTGTTCTTTCTTTCATCTTGCTTGCTTTGGCTGTCTCTCTACTACTGAAGCCATGCCTCCCATCTGGCTTTTTGTTTTCTAACTTGGATTTGAACCATGACCCTCCAGGCCGGAGCTTCCTGAGGAACTAGGATTTCAGGGATGCACCATGGGTGCCCAGAAGACAGTTTTCTTTGTTCTCGGGGGCTTGCTCTGTAAACCAGCCCTGCCAAGAGGCCCAAATGAGATCGCAGGGCCCAGAGTCACTTCTCAACCTTAGCAGTTCAGATGATCATTCAAGACTCTCCAAATTCAGTCAAGAGATTTTTTGTGTTGTTTTTATTTTGTTGTTGCTGCTGATACTGAGGCTTGAACCTAGGGCCTGCACATTGTCCCTCAGCTTTTTCTCTCAATGCTGGCACTCTACCACTTGAGCTACACAGTTCTTTGGAGATAAGAGTCTCGGGGACTTTCCTGCCTGGGCTGGCTTTGAACTGCAGTCCTCAGATCTCAGCTTCCTGAGTAGCTAGGATTGCAGGCTTGAGCCACTGGTGCCTGGCTTCAGGGTTAATTTTTTTTTTCTAACATAGACTTTTAACAGTCACATTCTAGGTGCTTCACCTTGCCTGAGCACCTTTTGGGTTTCCATCAGCCTCTAGCTGAACATTGAAAGGACCCAAACATGCTAGATGCAGGCCTGGCTGTAGACACTGGTGGCTGTCCAGCTATTCAGGCAGGAGCCACGGCTGGGGCAGTCACACTCCCGTGTGCTGGTGAGGACTGGGTTGGTCTTCAGATGACACCATCATTACTCAAGATGTGATGACCCATGTACAGTATTTTGTTGTTGTTGTTTTGTTTCAGTTTTTGATGCTGGTCCTAGGACTTGAACTCAGGGCCTGGGTGCTGTCCCTTAACTTTCTCACTCAAGGCTCGTGCTTTTCCACTTGAACCATAGCTCCACGTTGGATTTTTCTGGCGATTAGTTGGAGATGAGGGTCCCTCAGATTTGTGTGCCCAGGCTGGCTTCAAACCATGATCTTGGAGATGACTGGCCTGACCCCGAAGCACAGCAGTGATAGAACTTTCCCTCTTGGAAATGAAAGTCCTGAACATTTTAGAGACAAAGCACAGGACTAGAGTTTGAGCTGAAATGTGCTCCTCAGTTGTTGATTTTTTTCTTTTTCTTTTTTTTCAGTATTGGGAATTGAACTCAGGACCTTGCACTTGCTAGGCAAGTGTTCTACTGGCAGAACCACAAGCCAAACCCTTTGCTTCTCATTTATTTTTGAGATGGAACTGGAACTTGTTACCTTTGCTTCCCTCCCTGTCCTGAGGATCTGGGATTAGAGGCTTGTGCTGTCATACTCAACTGAAGTCTTCCTTCCTTCCTTCCTTCCTAACTTCCTTCCTTCCTTTCTTTTTGTGCTGGTCCTGGAGTTTGAACATAGGGCCTGGGCTCTGTCTCTGAGACATTTTGCTCAAGGCCAGCACTTTACTACTTGAGCCACAGCTGCACTTTCAGCTTTTTGGTAGTTGATTGTAGATAAAAGTCTCCTGGACTTTCTTGCCTGGGCTGACTTCACATTGTAATCCCCAGATCTCAGCCTCCTAAGTAGCTAGGATTACAGGCATAAGCCACCAGCACTGAGCCCCAGCCTGCTTTTGAGACAAGATCTCATTGACTTTTTGTCCAGATTGGCCTCTGTCTCTGTCTCTTGAGTAGCCAGGATTATAGGTATACACCACCATGCCAGCCCAAAATATGTCTCCCAAGTAGTGACAGGAATATGAGTTCAAAAGGCTGCCTTAGCCACAAGGAGGACTTGCTCTGTGTGGGGCCCTATAGCAGGCTCTGGACACAGAGACAAGTGCGTTTCAGACTGCCCTGAAGGAGCCTGGGAATGCCAGGCATGGATAGCCAGGTCATCAACAGTGTTGTGGAACTCAGGCTGATAGAGTGAGGGACAGTCAGGAAGGTGGTGGAAGCAACTGGTCTCCCTCTGGGCAGAGCATTGAAGGATCGAGGCAGAAATGAGAGAGGGCTGGAGCAGGACTTGGCTTGAGCAAGGGCTCCAGGACACTAAAGGTGGTAGAGAGGAGCAGGGAAACCACACATCTGCTCTGACATCTTCCTCAGGCTTCTGATGCTTGCCTGTGGCTGGGGGTCACCCTTAGAGGTCAGCTTTCCCAATACTTGGCTATTTTGGGGTTCAGCAAGGGGAATCAGTTGCCATGGCTGCCATGAGAAGGGACCAACCTCTGGCCATGCTCTCTGGGTTGATGTAGCAACACCAAAGCCTGTACTCACACCAAAACCAATTCCCTGAGCAGCTTCAACCATGGGCCTTTCCCCCCTCATAGTCCTCTAGTCCTCTGAGATCAACTTTCCAGCCAGTTCAGTTTCTGATGAGGACGCCCTCTGCCTTGGTTTGTGGTGGCCAGCCTCTCACCGTGTCCTCGCATGGCCTCTCCTTGGTTCCTGTGTGTGGAGAGACAGTAAGCGGGAAGACGCTCCTGGTGTCCCTTCCCACAGGGCGCACATCCACTAGGCGAGGCTTCCACCCCTAGAGCCTTAGAATGCCTCTTGTCAACACCCCGAGGCATGCTGGGTTAGTTTCGATGCCAGTGTTGTAAATGCCCCATGTGAATTCTCCCCAAGACCTTTCCCAAGGATGGGTGATCTAGAAAACACCTGGGCATGGGGCTTGTGAGTTTCTGAGGAAGGAGGAGCGAGCCTTCTTCTTCTGCCTGTAGTTAGCTGTGTCCCGATAAGGGGTACCGCAGGGAAAGGGCGGGCCAGGTCCCCTGTGTGTGCCAGGCAGGTACAGAGTGCCTCCTGTGCACTTCTTCTGTTACAATGGAGCTTACATAACTCATTCCATGCCCAGGTTTGCTCATAGACATGATAATGGGACTTAATAGGGCTGAAAAGTCAATTAAGGGACATGAGTCATGTGTCCTGGCCCAAGGGAGCCACGGTTCTCGCCAGCTACATCTGTTGTTATTTTAAGGCATTGATTACCTCGTAAAGTGCCAGCGTGCTGCCACCAGGCCGGCCCCCCATGAGTCATGTTGGCTTTGGGGGAACTTGTGTGCCCACGTATTCAACCCAGACCTGTCCAAGCTGAACTCATCTCTCCCCTCTGTCCCGTCCCTGCCACTGCCTCTGGGGCTGCCTGGCTCAGCGCTCACCTCCCTCCGCCCTGTCACCCCACCTGGGAACCTGGTGTGACCCGGCCTCCGTGGTGCCCGGTGTGTCATGAGCCTTGCATGCTGTTGAGTGAGTCCCCAACTCGTTCCTCCTGCGGCCTCTCCTGCTCCTGTCCACTTCACCTCCTCTCTCCCACGCCCTCGCTAATACCCTGTTACCTCTTCCTGTACCAACCCAGGGGACTCTCCCAACATGTGCACCTCCTCGCTTGCGCCTCCGGTGGTGACACAGCTTCCTGGAGGCGCATGAGGTGACCCCATTTGACACTGCTGTCTGCATAGGAGGCATGGCCAATTCCTGACACCGTAGGCGCTGAGGGTATGAGACCTAGTGTGGCCATAGGTAGCTGCAGACAGGACCTTCTGCCCAGCCAGCTCTCCTGCCCAGTCCTGTCTGCCTTCTTGGTCCATCAGCCCCACCCAGAGATGACACCTGCCTCCAACACAAGGCCTCCAGGCCTCCTGACAAGAATCCCCTCCCACAGAGCCATACACCGCCCCACTTCGGACTCTGTGGGAGTCTTGCCCGGGTAAGGCCATCCTGGCCCGGCAAGGCGCCAGAGCCCACGCTGTCAACAGGTCACAGATTGCTGGTGGTGCTTCATGCCTAGGAGTCCTGTTCACTGTGAGCACACGGGGGTAGGCAGGAAGGAGTCTGCTCTGTCCCCATCAGGAGAGAGCTGGGCTCTGCAGGTAAAGGGACAGTATGCGGAGTGACCGCCCCTCTCCGTGGACAGGAGAGTCGCCGGGAGGCACCTTCCTGCACAGACCCTGCGTGGGAAAGCCTGTTTCGAACATGATAACTTGCTAGGGTCGGGGGATTCCAGGGAAATTCCATCCCAACCCTGAACACCCACTGAATTTCCTACTTCGCCACAGAGCACATATTGAAAAGAGGTGATAAGCCAGACAGTGCACACTGTGCATCTGGGGTTCCAGACACTTGGGAGGCTGCGGGGGTGATCTGAGCACAGGACCTCAAGGCCAGCCTGGGCAGTACAGCAAGACGCTAGCTCAAAAAAAATAAAAGGAGGAAAAGGAAAAAGAGAAAAGAAAGGGGAGGAAGTCATGGTTTGGTGGCGCTGGTGGCTCACGACTATAGTCCTGGCTACTTGGGAAGCTGAGATCTGTAGGACTGCAGGGTGAAACTCCATTTCCAATTAACCCTCAGAGGCTGGACTGGAGGTGTGGCTCAGGAAGTAGAGCACCAGCAGAGCCATTGTGAGGCTCTGAGTTCAGAGCCTGGTACAGAAAGAAAAAGAGAAAGAAAGAAAAAGGAAGGAAGGAGAGAGAGAAAGGAAGGAAGAAGGAAAGAACAGAAAAGGAAAAGAAGTCAAGTTCTGTGAATGTGCAAGTCTGGAGAGCGAGGAGCCCTCGCCCCTCAGGCGGGGCATCTGACTTCCATTCCTCACTTGCCAGCGGCCTGACGGCTCTGTCTCAGGCGGGTGCAGTCAGCACCACATCTGGCATCAATTCCACGCTCACTCCCCCCCCCCCCCCCCCCCCCGCCCCACAGCTGGTTTCAGAGGTCCCACAGCCGCCCGGAGACTTTCTGGAGAAAGAAAAGGAACACAGATTTATGACACTGTGAGGCAGACTTTCAAGGGCACGCGCTGGCAGGTGCGCACCTGACCAGGTGGCAGTCATGGTCACAGGCAGGCTCTGGGGCTTGGCCAATGGGTCAAGTGCTTTGAAAGGAGCAGGGGAGATTGAAATGGCCTCGTCTCCTGGTGTGGCTCAGGAGGCAGGGAGACACCTGCCTCACAAGCAGATGACACTTAGGACAGGCTGTGGGCTGGTGGCTTTTCAGGGGCCAGTTTGATGCTCTCTGATGGGACCTTAGAGTGCCTCAAGACAGTGCTGACTGGTGGAGAAGTGGCCGGTTGCCCTTGGAATATCATGGTGTGGCCCAAGACCCAGCAGACCGTTGGGGACAAAGCGACAGGCAGGGACAGCTGTGGCAGGTTTTGTGCTCTTTGCTGTTTGCTGGCTCTCGGGCCCGGGGGGTGGGGGGAGGGTTGGGGGCTCTGAGGACAGCAAGCCTCTAGCAGGGATCTCTGATCTGTGGGGTATTGGTGGCCCCTGAGCGGCCAGTGGGCTGGGGGCTCTGTGACGCTGGTGTTGGGAGGCCAGAGTGCTGTGTCCATTGTTGAACTGTGTGTGTGTTCTAGTTGACTTGACATCCTTCGTGACTCACTTTGAATGGGACATGGCCAAATACCCTGCAAAGCAGCCTCTGGCGAACGTGGTGGACACCCTCACAAAGGTGAGCGGGCCTGATGTGTGGACGGCTGACCATGGAGATGGCCCGCGTTGGGTTCAGACTCTGGCAAGACCGAGGAGGGAGGCTGGGGTTCGACCCCTGCCTGTTGACCCTGGGTAGGACCCTGTCCTGCCGGCCCTGATGGGGCCTCAGGCCTCTTTCTGTGCCCTGGTTAGGCTGAGGATGAGAGAAGCCCGTCACACACCCCTCCCATTGCCTACAGGGGCGCGAGAGGACGGCCCCTGCGAGCCCCCGATGGTGCTCTGACCCCAGAGCTGCTCCTTCCCCTTCCCATCACTCTAGCTCCTCCCTAGTCTGCCCTTGGGGACCTGATGCTCCCCAACTTTATGAGTTTCTTGAGGAGAGTGGTGGCTCACATCCTTGTTAGACTGTGAAACTCCAAATCCAATTGATTAGCAAAAATCTGGGCTGGAGGCATGGCCTATATGGTAGAACACCAGCTGGGAGGAAACAAGATGAGCAAGCACGAAGCCCTGGTACTGGCACGAGAGGAAGGGGGGTGGGAGAGACAGAGATAGAGTTAGAGTTGATTTAGGAGGCCTGATCCTAGAATTATGTGCCAGTTCACCCCTGGGCCACCCGTGACGCAGTAAGCTGTGTCTGTCTGCTAAGCCATGCTTTCCTGCTAGTCTTTGAACTCCAAACGCCATAGCACAGGTCCATGGGGACGTTGTACATAGCCAGCAGCTACAATGTAGCCTAGTCATGTAGCTCTACAATGAATACGGTGTAGTTTGGTTGTGTAGCTGTACAAATGGTGCTGCAGTATGCTTCTCTTGGAGTACAGAGAGTGGTATATAATATGAATGAATACGATGTAGCTGTAAAGCAAGTGTTTCCCTTCCTCACACAGCAACTGGCACAGATCGAGACTGACCTGAAGTCCCGCACAGCCACCTACAACGCTCTCAAGATGAACCTGGAGAACCTGGAGAAGAAATCCACGTGCGTACTGTGCTCCCGCGCGGGTGCTGCTCTGCTCCCCGGGACCCCCCTCACCCCTCACCCATGGAGGATGCAGGGGGCACCTTGCAAAGGACAGTGAGCAGCTGGGGTGCAGAGCCTCGTGCTTTGATGGGCAGAGAGCTCGGTGAGCTCCAGCCCTGCGCGGAGCCTCTGCGGGAACGCAGGTGCCTGCTCTGTCTGCCTGGACGGTCAGTGGACCCTGCAGACGGACCTGGCATCAGATGGTGGAGGGTTCCACCAGGAGGAAAGGGGAAGCTCAGTGTGAGCAAGGCAGGGATTGTCATGGGACAGTAGTGAGTACACTGGCACTGGCGGTACGTAAGAAGCCAGTGGGGGCTGGGAAGGTGGCTCAGTGGTAGAGTGCTTGCCTTGCATGCACGAGGCCCTGGGTTCCATTCCTCAGCACCACCTAGGCAGAAAAAGCCGGAAGTGGCGCTGTGGTTCAAGTGACATGGCACTCGCCTTGAGCTGAAGAGCTGAGGGACAGCACCCAGGCCCAGAGTTCAGGCCCCACAACCCACAAAAAAAAAGAAGAAAAGAAGAAGAAGCCAGAAGCCAGTGAGCTTCTTCTGGGGCTGGAGGAGGACGCTGCTGGACAGTGCTGGTTTGGCAGGGTTTCCTCCCGTGACCAGGAGAAGGTCACTTTTTACTTACATGTACATCTTGTGGTTGTCACCAGCCAGCATTTCTTGTGATTAGCTCTTGTGATTCTGAAAGTGTGCCCAAATCCATAGCTTGGTCTAGATGGCGTCCCGGGGAGAGGCCATGCCTGACCTCGTGGCACTCAGAACACTGACACGCAGGGTGGGTTGGGCTGTGGGCATGAGGTGCAGGTGGAACGTGGGAATCCCAGCTCTAATGAGCTCATTATGCCTATGTGGAGCCCCAAACCCCACACAGTGCGAACCCCAAACACTCTTGGTCTCCAGCACAGCCATTCAAGCTAATTCAAGCCATTCAAGCCTGTCATTGACAGACTTTTCTTCCCTGTGCTGGTTGAACCATGGTCATCAAATATCAGTCTCCTGAGTAGCCAGCATTCCAGACGTGAACCACAGGCACCCACATCATGTCCTCTTGACTCTGTTACCTAAGCCTTCTTTCAGTATGTATTTTATTTTTTAAATTTTTAATTGTTATTATAAAAGTGATGTACAAGCTGGACACCAGTGACTCATGCCTATAATCCTAGCTACTCAAGAGGCTGAGATCTGAGGATCCTGGTTCAAAGGCAGCCTGGACAGAAAAGTTCATGAGACTCTTCTCTCTAGTGAACCTCCAGAAAACCAGAAGTGGCACTGTGGCTCAAAGTGGTAGAGTGCTAGCCTTGAGAAAAAAGCTCAGGACAGCACCCAGGCCCTGGGTCAAGACCCACAACCCCCAAAAAAGATGTACAGAGGTTTACAGGTATATAAGTCAGGTAAAGAGTATATTTCTGGGCTGGGAAGGTAGCTAAGTGGTAGAGCGCTTGCTTTGCATGCATGAGGCCCTGGGTTCGATTCCTCAGCAACATATAAGAAAAAAGAAAAAAGCCGGAAGTGGCACTGTGGCTCAAGTGGTAGAGCGCTAGCCTTGAGCTGAAGAGCTGAGGGACAGCGCCCAGGCCCAGAGCTCAGGCCCCACGACCGGACCCACCCCCCTCCAAAAAAAAGCATATTTCTTTTTGGACAATGTCATCTTTTCCCTTGCTCTGTCTCAGTTTTTCTCTCCTGTCCCCACCTACAAATTATATAGTTCTTTTTTCCATTAATGTTTAGAATTTAAGTAGTTGTACAAAGGCGTAATTAACAGAGCAGTTAATCAGCGTCGCCCTCCTCAGCCTTCTCGCCCCTTTGATGCAGCCCTCCCCTTCCTGTTCCTTACTTCTTTTTCACAAGTTTGTTATTGTTATTATAAAGGTGATGGACAGAGGGGTTATTGTTACGTAAGTCAGGGAAAGGCTACATTTTTTTTTTGGGTCCGGTCGTGGGGCCTGAACTCTGGGCCTGGGCGCTGTCCCTCAGCTCTTCAGCTCAAGGCTAGCACTCTACCACTTGAGCCACAGCGCCACTTCCGGCTTTTTTCATTTTGCTTATGTGGTGCTGAGGAATCGAACCCAGGGCCTCAGGCATGCAAGGCAAGCGCTCTACCACTGAGCCACCTTCCCAGTCCAAGGCTACATTTCTTTTTGGACAGTGTCACCCCGTCCCTCGCTCTCTCCCAATTTTCCTCACCCACAAGTTATGTAGTTCATTTTTCGTATGGTGTCTAGTGAGTACACTGCTGCATTTGTTCACCCTTTGTCCATTTCTGTGTTCCCTTACTCTCCCAAAGTTAGATAAATGAGTAAACAAGAAAAAAGAAAACAAAAACAACAACGAGGTGAAAACCTCTTGTGTCCATTTCGATAAATATTATTTTATCTGATCAGATGTACGTAGGCATTGCACCTTTGTGTTCTTCTCGTAAGAGTATTCTCACCCGGTGCTAGTGGCTCACACCTGTATTCCTAGCTACTGAGGAGGCTGAGATCTGAGGATTGTGGTTGAAGCTAGCCTGAGCAGGAAAGTCCACGACACTCTAATCTCCAATAAACCACTCAGAAAAACAGAAGTGGCACTGTGGCTCTAGTGGTAGAACACTAGCCTTGAGCTAAAGAGCTGAAGGACAGTGCCCAGGCCCAGAGTTCAAGCCCCATGACTGACCCCACAAAAAGAATATTCTCCTTTGGTCTCACTGTGTGTGAATGTCTAGAGTCCTATATAATTTATCATGCCCCAGTATATTTTAGATCTAGTTTCAGCATATATTTTAAAGCACCTACTAAGCTCTCAGACCATAAGCTAGGCCCTAAAAAATGCACAGCAGAATAAAATCTGATTCCTGCACAGCCTGCAGACTCACCATTGTTCATTCAGCAGACATGTTTGGAAGCTCCACTGTGAAGCTCGGGGTGCACAGGGCAAAGCTCAGACCTTAAGTGTAGTGTGAGGGTCGTGTGCTCATGAGAGCTGTCCGGGGTACGTCAGGGCCACGCCGCTACATAGACAGAAACTGGAAAAGAAAGTGGCTGGGTGTGGGGAGACTCTGGTGTTTCCCCTTTAAAGCTTTGGGGGAGGGGGGGGAGGGGACTCCTTACCTGGGAAGCACCCAGCCCCCAGCCTCTGAGTGTCTTGGTAGTGGTGTACAGCTACACTCCCGCCTCCGACAGCCTTGCCCCAGGGCTAGGCCTGAAACTAACTAGGTCCCTTGGGCAAGGGCAAAGCTATTTCAGGTGAGTGTCCCCTGGTCACTTTGGAGGCCTGTAAAGTGACACGCAGCTCTGTCTCAGCCAGTAATTTTAGCTGCCTGCCACCTGAGGTCCCCTCACAATGGCCGATGGTGGCACAGGGCGCTGTGGGTCACCGAGGTATTGGTGACTGGTGACAGTAGCTGAGGCCCAGCCAGCCTCCCTGACCCTGGAGGCAGGAGGCGGCAGCCCTGATGCTGGGATGGAGTCCGGGAGGATGGTCTTAGGAGGCTCCAGCATGGAGAGGCAAGCTCCAGAGCCTGCTCCTTTCCTGTCCCCATCTGGGTGTTGTGGGTTTGCAGGGGGGGAGGGGCCCGTGGCTCACTTTCTGCTGGTCACACTTTGTGTGTGTGTGTGTGTGTGTGTGTGTGGCTTTTCAGGGGGAACCTCTTCACTCGGACACTGAGCGATATTGTGAGCAGAGAGGACTTTGTGTTGGATTCAGAATATCTCATCACACTGCTGGTCATCGTCCCCAAGTACGCGGCCAGGAAGGGCAGGGGGAGGGGAGGGTGTCTTGACCCTTGCTGGGATGGACGGAGGGACTGTGGAAGGACATCAGCCCTGCTCAGTAGACAGGGAGATGGGCCATTTCCATGCCCACCTGCCAGGTTAGAAGACCTACAGAGCAGCTCTGCTTACAGCAGTAGGAAGATGGTGACAGTGATCTAAGCAGCCATTTATTGTGCACCTACTGTGTGACTCATCAGTCACAGACAATGTTTCATCTCTGTCACAGGCCTGGGAGTTCTTACTTTTTTGAACTTTGTCCTGAGACCGTCAGCTGGTTCCAGGTCGCCCACTGGGTCAGGCCTGGAGGTTATTAGTGAGCTGCATACATGTCTATACCTCGCTCTCTATGGGGCCTTTTGTGGGAGACCCGGAGCTCTCACAGGCTGGACCCAGGTTGGGGTTAGGCCAGGGTATCCTCAGAGCCACTGAGCAGGGCCTGCAGGAATGCTGGGGACTCTCCACAGTCCCTTCCCCACCCCACCCCAGGCCTTAGGAAAAGGGAGATATAGCATCCTGAGCCTCAGGACGTCCAGAGCCTTTGTCACATAAGAATGAGTGGTTCCTGTCCTCCTAGGACAAGCTACGCCCGGTGGCAGAAGACCTACGAATCGCTGTCGGATATGGTGGTCCCTCGGTCGACCAAGTGAGACCCCAGCTCAGCTCTGGGCACCTGCAGGGTGTGAGGCCTCTGAGCCCCATACCCAGGCTTTCTTGGTCCCCTCCGCTCCTCTTGGGCCGCTCAGTTTTCTTGCATGCTTGGCCCAGAACTCTTATCACTAACTCTGTCATAAGCCACCCTGCTTTTATCTTTCAATTCTCCACTCCCTTGCCCCTCCCATGGGAAGTGTCATCCTTCCTTCCTTCCTTCCTTCCTTCTTTCCTTCCTTCCTTCCACCCATCCTTCCATCTATCCTTCATCCATCCATCCATCCTTCCATCCATCCTTCATCCATCCATCATCCATCCATCCATCCTTCCTTCCATCCATCCATCTATCCTTCCATCCATCCATCCTTCCATCCATCCATCCATCCATCCATCCATCCATCCTTCCATCCATCCATCCATCCAACCTTCCATCCATCCATCCATCCATCCATGTATCCATCCATGTATCCATTGCAGGGCCTCTCCGTGGATCCTCTGGCTTTGAGCTCTGTTCTGCCTGCCCTATTTGTTCTGCCCCATTGGGGGTCCTGCAGACACCTACCTGTGCACAGTCCCAGGTGTGAAGGAAGACAGTTTCAGGGTGTGGCCCATGGAGGGTCAGAGCATATAGCGTAACCAGTGGGTACTGCAGAAATGATGTGTAGAAAATATATTTTTTCATATTTTATTAGTTAGAAATAGCACAAAGATGATATATGTCATATATACCACATCTATCATAAAATATAATAGCATATATTATATACATTATATAATATATAGTATATAATACACATATACTATATATTATATACTATAACATATATAGTATATAATAGTATATGCTATTATATATGTATTATATATAAAGGTCTGTGAGACTCTTATCTCCAATTAATCACCAGCAAACGAGAAGTAGTGCTGTGGTAAACATTAGCGTTGAGCAAAAGGAGCTTAAGGACAGTGCCCAGGCCCTGAGTTCAAGCCCCACAACCAACAGGAAAAAAACAACCCTTCTCCTTGCTGAGTTCAGCTCCAGCGTGGGTCTGGGCACTGGGCCACCCCAATGGTCGCTGAGGTGAACAAAAGCTTCTTATCAACAGACTGATTGCGGAGGACAATGATGGCGGCCTCTTCACTGTGACTCTGTTTCGAAAAGTGATTGATGATTTCAAAGTCAAAGCCAAAGAAAACAAGTAAGGGTGTGACCTTGAGCACCTCCAGATGTGGCCCCTGGGAATCTTTGCCCCCTCTAGGCGCTTCTTAGTAACAGCCATGGTGTGCTTGTTTTAAGGTTCACTGTCCGTGAATTTTACTATGACGAGAAAGAAATCAAAAGGGAAAGGGAAGAGATGACGAGACTTCTGTCTGATAAGAAGCAACAGTATGTGAGTACCAGGGCGGGCAGGCGGGGGGGGGGGGGGGGGGTCATGACACAGGGCAACCTTCTCCATCCATGTGCTAGAACCAAGTGCCCAACCTGCCAGTCTCCTTTCCCCTGGGCCACACCTTCAGGAGCACCTGGTCTCCTGGGGCCCCAAGAATTGGGTCTGGGGAGAGGGTGATGGGCAGAAGTGCCCTCCCTCCCCTTCCCCGCTAAGTTGGACCAGCTCCCACCCAACCTGCCCTGCGGGTAGCTCATTGAGTCCCTCCCCAGCCGAAGGCCTGCCCAAGCCCCTGGGGGGAAGAGGGAAGTGGGGTCCAGGCAGCAGCATCGGAGCCCAGAGCGGCAGGGCCACTGCCTTGGAGATGCTTGGCCACCTTGCCACCCTGCTCTCCTTGGCTCATGCCGTTTCCAGGATACCACCGGCTGCTCGTATTTACCTCCCTGTGGTCTTAGCAAGGAGAGAGTACTTACCTAGGAGACTTCTGACCACAGCTACTTAGAAACTTGCTGGATACGATGGGCGTTGGTGGCTCACGCCTGTAATCCTAGCTACTCAGGAAAGTCCTGTGAGACGCTTATATCCAGTTGGTCATCAAAAAGCGGGAAGTGGAACTGTGGCTCATGTGCTAGAACATCAGCCTTGTGCAAAAAAAAAAAAAAAATAATAATCTAAGGGATTATTCAAACCCCAGGACCAGCACAGCCAAACAAAGCAAAACAAAAAAGAAAGAAACTCATAGAGGAGGGCAGCCTGGCCCACAGGGTAGAAAACTGGATGCATCTTGAGATGTAGTTTTGGAAAATTCATCTACTGATCTGGAAAGTGGGTGCCTCCTGGACACAGTGCCCTCTAGTGTTGGCATTGGGCTGGGCCTGGTGGCTCCCCAAGAGCCTGCCCGCTGGATAGAATGTTTTCTGGCCTCTTCTCCCCGCCCCTGCCCTAAATAAGAGGGTTCTTCCACCAAGAACAACTGGCATGAACTTCCTGTGTGTCAATTCAGAGCTATGTATGCTGGGGAAGAGAGGCGGGGCCAGTGGGCAGACCACTGAGACTGCCCTGATCTCAGAGTCCGAGTCTCCCTCCTCTCCCGCTGTGTGAAATCAGGCATCTTAGAGCCCCACTGCCTTTTCCTTTCAGAGGAAAACTCCTGATGATATAGAAAGTTCACAGTGGAGCCAGGCACCAGTGGCTCACGTCTATAATCCTAGTGACTCGGGAGGCTGAACTGAGGATCGCAGTTCAAAGCCAGTGTACGCAGAGAAATCAGTGAAACTCTCCTCTCCAACTAATCAACAAAAAAAGTCAAAAGCGAAGTGCTGGTGACTCATACCTGTAATCCTAGCTACTCAGGAGGCTGAGATCTGAGGATCGCAGTTTGAAGCCAGCCCGAGCAGGAATGTCTGTGAGACTCTTATCTCCAATTAACTACCAGGAAATCAGAAATTGAGCCGTGGCTCAAAGTGGTAAAGCATTAGCTTTGAGCAGAAAAGCTCAGGGATGGCACCCAGGCCCTGAGTTCAAACCCTACAACCAACAACAAAAAAAAGTCAGAAGTAGAAGGAGGTGTAGATCAAGTGGTAGAGGGCCAGGTTTGGCTGAAAAGCCAAGCAAGTGCACGAGTACACACACACACACACACACACACACACACACACACACACACACACACACACACACACACACACACACACACACACACACACACACACGTTCATACTGGGGATTTTAATCCTGTTCCCTCAAAGCATAGACACACACACAACCCCACACAACCCCTATGTGGAGACACATACGTGCACGGGGCCAGCACCCACGCTGCTCGCACGGGGCCAGCACCCACGCTGCTCGCACGGGGCCAGCACCCACGCTGCTCAGGCCCAAAGTCTGACTGGATTCCTACCTCACAGTGGAGGTCTGTGGGGATGGCGCCCTGGCCCCTGCGGGTGTTTGAGGCCTTGGAACAATGGCACAGACCCGGCAAAAACAGCCTGAAGTGACAGTCACCAAGAGCAGAAGCCCAGGGGTTGTCCTGGGTTGGCCTCAGCCGGTCAGCACCCATTCTTGTCAGTCCCACCTTCTCTGCTCCCCGTGGGCCTCCTCCCAACCTCTAGAGAGTATCGTGACAGTTTTTGAGGGTCCAGCAGAGGGCCTGGCCCAGGGGAGAGGAGCCCCTTGGCACCCATCTCCACCCTGGCACAGGCCTGCCAGGCTCCCTCTGCCACCTGCTGCTTGGCTTGCCAGCTGGTGTCATCTTTACATGGAGTCCTTCCCCACCCCTGTGCTGACCTGGGGAGCCTGCTGAGGTCTGCCTGGGAGGGCGACCCCAAGCTGTGCCTGTAAGCAGAACCCCAGGGGTGCAGTAGGGGCAGCCCCGCCCTTCAGCCCGAGGGTCTCTCCTCCTCTGGTCCGCTTGGGAGTGCACAGAGCCAAGCATCTTGTAACTTCTGTCTGTCCATTGGAGGTGATTTCACACGGGGTAGCACGGTCCATTTCCCACCCATTGGCAGACAGGATGCTAATGAGTGAGCTGAGAAGCTTTCTGCACATGACTGCACAGCCAGACGGACGTGCTCAGCGAGGCAGCTGCGCCCCGTCCAGCTGAGCGCCCCGTCCAGCTGAGCTGCGAATGATGCGGCAGGGAGGGGTGGGGGTGTGGAGGGGCAGGCTGTAAGCCCCGCCCCCGGCCTTCCTCTCACCAGACTGCAAGTCCCCAGGGCCCACCTTCTGGAGTCTATGTTTGTTTGGGGGGGTAGGGGGGCGGCGGAAGTGGTGAGAATTGTTTTCTGCGTGTTTGTGATGTCTGCTTGCCGAAAGATTAATAAATCATTTCTGTGCCTTTAGCAAACTTCCTGTGTTACTCTTAAAAAGGGAGCACCCACCTACCGCGACCACAAGGTTAAGGTAACCCCGCTAGGGAACCCCGATAGGCCCGCTGCGGGGCAGACCGACAGAGAGAGAGAGAGTGAGGGCGAGGGTGAGGTAAGCAGCCCTCAGGGCGCCCTGGGGTCGCGCTCGCATCTCCGCCAACTGAGGCAGCTTCTGAGAAAGCCCGGTTCTTGCCTTTTCCATCATCTCCTTCAGCTTGGTGAGGTTTGAGGTTCAAGGAGCCCAGAATCAGCCCTTCCTCTAGCCGGCAGGGTCTTTCTGCAGCCGCCCCTGCCCGCAGGAAATGGTGCTTCGATGGCCAGGGTGACTGTGCCCTGGCCGGAGGTGGCTGGAGTTGGTGATGGGCAGGGCCCTGGTGAAGAGGTGGTGGTTGGGCAGCTCAGCTTCCCACCCTGGCTGCCCTGGCGAGGTCTCTTCCTTGCCCTTGATGCCATCGGAGGAATTCAGTGGGAGCTTGGAGCTCTTACTCCGAGACTCTGTGTTCCCCCGCCAGGACCGGCCACCCTGGTCTTGGTGGCTGGGGCTTATAGATGCTGGTAGATGGTGCCAGCCCCCACAGGAGCCATGCCCTCAAGGACGCGGGCTCCCTGGCTGTGCCCGTGTACAGTCCTGAGGCCAGGAGCTGCCCGGTCCCCACCCCGGCCTGCGGTGGCCCTCGCATGTGCAGGTGGCTGGCCCGCTGAGCTTCCCCAGGGCCAGGTGCCCCAGCCTCATCCGGGACTCTTCTGACTGCTTGTGCTGGCTCCTGGTGTTTCTTCTCTCCGGGGCTGGGCTTGCTGTCCGCGCCCGAGTCCTTTCTGGGCCCTCGTGGCTTCTGGCCGCATGGCTCACGCGGCCCGCCCGTCTTCCAGGGCCCATTGCTGCGCTGGCTCAAGGTGAACTTCAGTGAAGCGTTCATTGCGTGGATCCACATAAAGGCGCTGAGAGTGTTTGTGGAGTCTGTGCTCAGGTGCGTGGAGCAGTTTGGAGCTGGGGCTGCCCTGGGGGTGGTGGCGGGGTCTGGAGAGGTCGAGATCCGGGCTTCGCCTCACCCATCCTCCCAGCATCCCTCACCCCCCGCCCCCCAGTTTCTGGGGCTGTGGTTGCTGCCTCCTCTCCTGGCTCTTGGCAAACCAGCTGAACCCCAGTTGGCCCTGGGTCCCCTGTTCTCCGCTGCTCCCTGGCCACCCCTGGCCACCCGCGGGGCCAGTGGCTGTCTCAGTCCTCACTCTCCAAAGCCAGCGCTGAGGACAAGGGGGCCGGAGCACCACTGGTGTGGCAAGGGAAGGCATGGCGCCTGGGCAGTCGGGCAGTGGTGTGGGAGCGGCTTTGGTGCTGGCACGCCCGGCCCCTGGCAGACTTGGTTCCTAGCGGCACTGGTGAACACCTGCCACACCCGAGAGCTGCATGTGGCTTCCTGAGCACCCCACAGTATGCAGGAGCAGTGACCCCCAGCAGCCCGGAGGGCAGACCGCTGGGGGCCAATCAGAGCAGTAGAGACTCAAGGTAATGTCACCACAGTGACATGCCCTCCGACCCTTGTCCCCTGGGGAACACCAGAGCTTGGATAGCCAGAGATGGGGACAGACCACACGAGGAAGCCCTGGCCGTTCTCACCTGGGATCTGCCCGTGCCGCCTGCCTCCAGGAAGGGCGAGGTCTGGACAGTGCCTGCTCCCCCGCCTCCCCAGGGACGCTTTGTGAGAGCAAGGGCTGCTGGGAAGGTGTCTGGGGCAGGGGGCATTTATGGACATTGGCAGAAACTGGGTTCTGGGTGAGTGCAGGGCACCCGGGCACCCGGAGTCCAGCTCTCACCCAGGGCGCAGCAGAGCGTTGGGTCACTCACAGCGCTGAGATGGCTCTGGGGTAACACCCTGCAGACAGCTCATCCCAAGTGGCTTGCAGTGTGTAGCCCGAGACGACATTTAAAACCTTTTCCACCCATCTGAAGGCTCAATAAAAGGAACTCTTGATATTTCTGCTCCTTTAAGTGGAGATGGACACGGCTAAGCAGGATTTTCAGGGCTGTGGAAGTGGCCGAGTGTCCAGCCCTTTCCCCGTGGAGATCTACCAGCACGACCTTAGTTCTGTTGCTTTGCTTTCGCTGTCATGCGGGTGGAAGCGTGCTTCTGCCGCGCTCACTGTACCGTTGCTTTGTCGGCACAGGTATGGACTGCCCGTGAACTTCCAGGCTGTCCTCCTGCAGCCGCACAAGAAGTCAGCCACCAAACGCTTGAGAGAAGTGCTTAACTCGGTCTTCCGACACCTGGACGAGGTGGCGGCCGCGAGTATACTGGATGTAGGTACACGCCGGGCCTCGGCACTGGCGGCTGGGCAGCCTTCCAACAAGGCGCTTGCTAGTCCGTTAGGAAAGCATTGTGTGCGTGCACGCGCATGCGCGTGTGGGGTGGGGGCAGTTACCGTTTGTGTGGTCATCCCTGTGGTCAGTACCCACACCAAGCTTCCTCTCAGGCAGGAAGTAAAACAGGAAGCAAGTTCACGCACTGACACCATCACCCCATCTTCTTTTGCAGGCCTCGGTGGAGATCCCCGGGCTTCAGCTCAGCAACCAGGACTATTTCCCCTACGTCTACTTCCACATCGACCTCAGCCTCCTTGACTAGTAGGGGCTGGCGCCTGGCACCACCAGATCCACTGACATGCACACTACAGCTCCTACGGTTTCTTGCTCACGAACCCGACTCTAAAGTCCTCTGCAATTTTGATTTTCAGACAAATTGCTCGCAAACGTTAGGTACAGTGTATTTATTTTTTTAAGTTACAATAAAATGCTCAGTCCTTCAAATCATCTTTTCTTAGGTTCTAACAGTAATTCGAAATGTTTTTTTTCCTGAGCGTTTTACATAAATGTGAACTGCCTACAGCCTGGGAAGCACTTAGTCCCTGCTCTCCCACGCTTGCCCGGGACCCTAGTGGGAAACACTGGACACCCTGCCTCACAACCAGCCCCTGGTGGCGGCCGGGGGAGGAAGCCGAGCCCCCCAGATGACAGCGCAGCATTTCAGGCCTTGCTTCAGGGAGGAGACAACAGGGCTGTCTGTTCATACTAAGTTGGGGGCTAAATAACAGACCCTGGCATTTATGATAGGGACACTAATTTCATACATGTGTCGGCATTGTCCAAAATAACGTTTTATTCTTTAATGGAAAAAGCCATTAATATTCAAATGAAGGAATCACATTTTAAAAAACCTATATATAAGAAACAGCCTCCAAGAACATTCAAGCAGCAGTCAGAGGGAAAAGTTTCCACAGCCCAAGTATTCTTCAAACTATTATGTGATAGAACACAATCCGATCACTGGTTCCAACAATTCATAGAATTTTTCAGTGTTTTCTCGAGATGCAAAGCTCACTGTTGCAGTGTTCTCAAAATGACCGATCAAGGGCTACTTCCTGGTAGAAAGGCCACTGGGAGGTTCACCTGTTTGTAAAGAATGTTCTTCACTGCTGGGAAAATCTGCTCGCTCCCAAGAAAAGAAGCTGGAAGCCCAGGCCGGGGCGCTCACAACTCGTCTTTCTCCAAGTCATCGAGCTCCACGTCGCTGAGGTCAATGTCATCCTCCACAGGAAGCTGGGGACAAGGGCAGGCCCAAGAAAGCAACAGTCAGTCTCTGTTGGCGCAGGCGCCTCCTAACTTCCAGGATTCTAAATTCCAATCCAGGTTCTCCTCAACCTGGATCTTTACCTATTATACAGTACGAGTGGAAAAGCTGAGCGCTAGCATGAAGCCTGGTACTTCCTTTTTGAGATTGGGAGATTTGGTTTTGTATTTCGCGTCCTGGGACTTGAACTCAGGGCTTGAGTGCTGCCGCTGAGCTTTTTTGCTAAGGGTGAATGTTCTATCACTTGAGCCACAGCTCTACTTCTGGCATTTTGGTGGTTAACTGGAGATAAGGAGTCTGTCTCACCAACTTTCCTGCCCAGGCTGGCTTTGAACTGTGATCCTCAGATCTCAGCCTCTTGTATAGTTAGGATTACAGGCGTGAGCACTGGCCACCATCAAAGAGACAGACAGGGTTTGTTATACAGATTGGGCCGACTTCAAACACAAGATCCTCCTCACTTGCTGAAGCTAAGATATTAAGTGTGTTCTACTACCGTGGTCTTTGAAGCATTTTGTACGTGTATGTGTGTGATGGTAAGGGTTGAACTCAGGGCTTCTCATTCTTGCTCAGCTGTTTTGCTCATGGCTGGCTAGCTACCATTTGATTCACCATTTGAACCATGCTTCCAGTTGTTTGCCCTGGATGGCTCTGAACCTGGATCCTTGGATCTCAGCCTCATGAGGAGCTATAAAGCATGGGTTTAACAGACCATCTCCTGTCTCTTTAAAACCAAAAGCCAGCCTGGTGTAGTGGCACATGCCTAGAACCTTAGTACTTGAACCAGGGGAGTACTGAGGTCTGTCTGGACTAACAGACCCTGTCTCAAAAAAGACGAAATGTCAGGTAAACGTCAGCTTATATGTTCTTCTGAGGACAGTGGGCGGAACTGTGCGGAAATGCTAATTCAGACTAGTTTTCCGTTTCTGAGACGTGGCCAGTGGGTTCCAGGCCACATCTACTTTGGGGCAAGCCAAATGACAGGCACACACCACGCCCTTTCTTTGCGATGGGGAAAGGGCAGGGAGGGGCCTTCAGAGGAAGGACCTGCGGAAGGTGCTGGGTGGGGCACAGTGGCACAGCAGGTAGCAGGTCTGGCGGAGGGCGCGTGCGTGCCCGGGGCACTCACCTCGCCGTCCCTGCCGTCCCAGGGCTCTCTGGTGGAGATGGCAGGAAAGGCCCCGCCTCCCACAGGTGCTGTGGAGCCTCGCCCGAAAGACAGCTCCCTGAGGGAAAAGACAAAGCATAGGCGTTAACTGTGTTCTAAGGCCGTGAACTTGGACAAAGCACATCAACAACTCAGGCTGGACGTTCATTTCTGAAAAGTGTCATGGACTTTTCATAATCTGGCTATTAAAAGCCACAGCTAAAAACACTCATCAGTGCGCATGTGTATCCAAGGCAGCAATGATGAAGCGAACCATCCATACGTGAAGCCACAGGCAGAAAGGCAAGCGCAGAAGAAACAAGAATCACAGGACGTGTATCTTGTTCAAACCTGACACCATGATCGTGGAAACAGAGTTCTGTGACAACCACAAACTGAGCCCACACTTCTTTGTGAAAGCACCTGATTAGCTCCATCAGCCAGAAAGCTGAGATGACTAAGGCAACTGGAACCACTGTAGTTTCTTTAGATACAATAATGGCACTGACTGCGTTCGTAGGAGCTTCGAGGCAGCCCAGACTGGCCTCGAGCTCCACATCTTCTGGCCTCATCAGCCTCCTCCACCACACCAGACCCAGGGTGACATGTTACATCTGACACGGGTGGGACTTGCTGACTGACTGTTCAAGTTGAAAAATCCGTGTAAATGTCCTGTAGCCTCGTTTCTCTACTTTTGTACACATTGAAAGTTTTCCATGCTTGGGAAATAAACACTGAGTAAGTCCCCGTAGGTTGTATTCATTACTGTTTTGGGGACATGAAACTTGTCTATTTTGATGTCTCATTTTCCTGATTTTCAGATCGTTTCTCTGCCCTTTGTTGAAACCCCGTCTAAGCACAGCTGATGTCCACTGCCCCAGGCCCGTTCTCTCCTGACGGCTCGTGCAACGCCTCAGCCCTATGGAGGCACCAGTATCCACGCTAAGACGACGGGAGGGAGGGGAGCCGCAGGAAAGCTGGGTGCTGGCCAAGGTCCCTGTCCAGGAGGGAAGGAGCCAGGGGAGGCTCCAGCTGGCCTCAGCTGCCCCGACTCCCACCAACTCCCACGGGTCCCCAGTGCCGGGGGGGGGGGGGGGGGGGGGAGGGGGGGGGGGAAGCAGAGCCGAGGCGTGGCCTTGAAAGCGCAGAGCGCAGTCTGCACAGCTCCCGCCCCGCTTGTGTGTGAGCGGCACTCTCACACATCTGCCCCGACCAGGCAGAACCCCCTAGGCTATCTTCGGTGTGCTGAATTATCTTCCACGCAGCGCAGAACGAACTTGAAAGCAAGGGCTGGAAACGAAATCCTTTAGACCCGCCAAAAAAGAGGGTGAAGTGAGTCTCAGGCTGAGGTGGGTGGCTGAGAGGGACAGCGCTATGAATGGCTGGAGTCGTTAGGGACAGACCCACATTTCCTGGGTGGAGGGGGACGCAGGGCTGCCGGGTGAGCCGCAGGCCAGGTGCCCACCCGGCCAGCAGGCGGCCTGAGAGCAGAAGAGTAGAAATATCCATGGACAGAGAATAAGGTACAGCGGACTTGAAAGCTCTGCCTTCTGAATGAATATCCAATCCTCTTCTACTTTAAACGTAAAACTTACATACACCTACTTTAAGCCAAAAGACACAACAAAATGCAACCGATAAAACACTAAACCACTACGAACACAAGAAATTACCTGAGAAACTCGTTAATGCCTTGCTCACTGAAGGAGCCTTTAAGAAGGGCAAACTTCATCTTGCGGGCATTTATGGCTGCCATGGCGGGGTATCCGAACCCCCCGATCCCCAGGGCGTTCTCAAGCTCATACTGGGCCCCAGCTTCTGTCCATAGCCATCTACAAAAGCAGGGCAATTTTTAGGGCAAAGGTATTTTTAAATGAGTTACAATCTAGCTCGTACATCTTATAAAGTCCCCGAGAGGGGATGCTATGGCTCTAAGACAATTTTGTCTCTGGATTCCAAAATACTGTCCCTAAACTACGTGAAGTTTTCCTATGTTGTAGGAATATAATTTTATTTTTTTTTTGGGGGGGGGGGTCAGTCATGGGGGCTGAACTCTGGGCCTGAGCGCTATTCCTCAGCTCTTTAGCTCAAGGCTAGCGCCCTACCACTTGAGCCACAGCGCCACTTCTGGCTTATGTGGTACTGAGGAATGGAACCCAGGGCCTCGTGCATGCAAGGCAAGCACTCTACCACTGAGCCACCTTCTCAGCCCAGGAATGTAATTTTTTTTGTTGAACAAATATCAAGGGGTGAAGTGTTGGTAGAGGACAGTAGGGGTACTAGGTATCCAGGAGAGGCTACGGATATTGAGGAATGGGAAGAAGATAGATGGGAAGCTTTTTAGCTTAAGGTTAATAACACTCTACTACTGGAGCCATTTGTAGCTTTTTTTGGTAGTTAACTGGAGATAAAAGTTCCATAGGCTTTCTTGCCCAGGCTGGCTTTGAATCGAGATCCTCAGAACTCAACTTCCTGAAACAGTTCAAGATTATGGACGTAAAAGCCAAACACTGGTGGCTCACGCCTGTAATACTAGCTACTCAGGGGGCTGAGATCTGAAGATAACGGTTCAAAGCCAGCACAGGCAGGAAAAGTCCGCGAGACTCTTATCTTCAATGAACCACCAGAAAACCAGAAGGGACGCTGTGTCTCCATAATAGAGCACTGTCCTTGAGCTGAAGCGCTCAAGCCCCATGACAAAAACAAAACAAAACAAAAAGATTACAGACATAAGCCACAAGTGAGAAACAATTTTCAAAATCTGCCTGGATCCAAGCGGGGCAGGGTAGTGTACACCTGTAACTCCAGCACTGGGAGGTTAGCCTGGGTTCATAGTGAGACCTGGCTTCAAAAAACATAAGGAGGGGCTGGGAAGGTTGCTCAGTGGTAGAGCGCTTGCCTTGCATGCTCGAGGCCCTGGGTTCGATTCCTCAGCACCACATAAGCAAAAAGAAAAAAAGCCGGAAGTGGCACTGTGGCTCAAGTGGTAGAGCGCTAGCCTTGAGCTGAAGAGCTGAGGGACAGCGCCCAGGCCCAGAGTTCAGGCCCCATGACCGGACCCAAAAAAAAACCAAAAAACAAAAAACATAAGGAACCAACTTGTGTTGATGTTTCTCCTTAGACCCAGTCCTCATGCAGAAGTGAATAGGAAACACATCCATTTTTCTCTTCAAGACTGTACTGGAATTAAGCTGTATTACGAATTACTATAACCCCCTTTTATGACAGGGACTAACTGGGCTTTGAGCTCCGGTCCATGCACTCATTCAGCTTGCTTCCTCATGACGATCCATGCCTCTAGCCTGGCTTCTGGCTGGAGAGCTGGAGGTAAGAGTCTAGCAACCCTCCCTGCTCAGGCTGCCTTTGAACCACAACCCTTTGGATCTCAGCTTCCCAAGGAGCTAGGATTACAGGTGTGAGCCATCAGCCCGGGCTGCAACAAAAAGAGTTTGTCTGTGGACAAAGAAGTAATCCTCTAGACAAGAGACAGGCCTCAAGCTCGAGATCCTCCTGCCTCAGCCTCCCAAGTTCTGTGGGTGGTTTTTCTATCTTACATAAAACCAGAGCAGGGTGAACGCAGGAGCACCATTCCCCACGGAGCTGAGACGAGGAGCAGGTAACTTACCCCCACATCTTCTTCTTGTATTTGTCTGCCAATTTCAGAAGAACTTCCAAGTAAGAATTTCTGCCTGAGGCTCCTGATGTAAACAGAAAAACAAGGCAACAACTGTTCAGGCCGGAGCACAGAGATGCAAGGTGCCTCGGGAGCGCTCTGGGGCGGCCTCGAATGCTCACCGGTGTCCAGGATGTGCGGCAGCACGGCCACCACGCACAGCTGGTGTTCGTCGCACGTCTTCTTGGCCACATCTTCGTTGATTATCTGTGGGGCCACAGGACAAGAGGTGGGTGGAAGGCGCCACACCTCCCTGGCACCTGCCCAACCCCAGCCACCCTCCACAGACATTTGGGTTTATCTGAAGCCTTCTGCGGACACCTGCGGAGGATGCATACTGAGAAAGGATACAAGCCAGTGCCTCAGTTTCCCCATCTATTGCTCAGCGTGCCTGGGAACGCCAGGGAGAAAGTCTAGGTGAGAGCACCACAGCAGCACCCTCACACGAGGCCTCCCCAGAGGCAGCTGCCCTGGGGGCAATTAATGCCAAAAGCTACGAAAATAAGCAATCTGTCAGAGCCATGTGCCCGAACTCCCGCCATTCCGAAGTACAGCCCACTTCAGAGCATTTGGAAAGGGAAGCCGAGAGCGGAGTGTGAAGATGAGACCCAGTCTCCCGCTTCACCCCCTTCCTTGCAGACAGGAAGCACATTCCCACCGCCAAGGGCTGCCCGCTCACCTCCAGCAGCTCCGGAGGAGGCGCGTTCTCGGAGAACAGATCCAGGGCCCGGGACACAATGTCCGATCTTGTCCGCCCACCATCATAATCCACGGGGGACTCGCCTTTCTGAAAGATCTTGATTGTAGGAAATCCTCTAATCTATTGGGGAAAAAATCCACAACCTTCAGTTGCTAAAACCAGCTTTAAATATCTCTCCTCCAGCTGGGCACGGTGAACGCCTGCAATCCCAGTTCTGTGGGAGGCTGAAACAGGAGGACTGCAAGCTGGAGACCACGCTGAGCCACTGCGCCCCTCCCTCATCAACCCACACACATGAACAGAAAGCTGCAGTTATCACTGAGCAGTGCTTAACCTGCGCACACAAGGATCTGGGTTCCATTCTCAGCACCACACCAAAAATTGAAACTAGCATTCTCAATACCACCCCTGCCACCAAAAAATTAAAATTCTCCAACCTGAATCAATGTCCAATGATTCTCAAAGAGCTATTCGCCAGTTTTAACAATCTAACTGAAAAGCTGAAATGTTATTCTAGCCCTGGGCATTCACGTGGCATATGGCTCCAGAATGAACACCAGAACAGGTCCGCCTTCAAAAGCCGTGCAAATACCTGTCAATCATGGGGTACAAGCAGTGCAATACTGAAAAACATCCGTCTTCAGTCCCAGACGTGACAGTGATGACCACGAAAGGACTTTGTCTCTTCACACCCACAGAGGTCGGGCACTACTCCTTCTACCCGGAATACTGGCTCAAGTGACAGCTGGCTGTCTCCCAAAGAGGGGGCCTGGTCAAGCACTCACCCCGTATCGGCTGGCTAGCACCTGGTTCACAGTGGCGTCCACGGCGGCCAGCTTCACTTTCCCCTTGGTCTGCTCCTTCACCTCGGTGGCGGCAGCGGCCCACTCCGGCTCCAGGCTGCGGAGATGCACTTCGTGAAAAGTCCTTCTAGGTCCCCGACAGTGCTCACACCCCGCCGGGCATTTCTGCCCAGCCCGTTTTACATCACACTGCAAATCCTTCAAGTGGCTTCACCAGCGCTCATGCTAGCCCTCACGTCCACCCCCACGTTAGTCCTGGACACGGAGCAGCCCGCTGGCTGTGGGTGGAAAGTCAGGTGGAAGGTTCCGCGGCAGCGCGCCGCGTGCTGAGGAGCGACCCCGAGGCCGCGCTCAGGAGCAGATGCGCCGGCGCGGAGCGAGTGCGGCCACGTGGCAGAAAGCACTTACTTCTTGCAGTGTCCACACCACGGGGCGTAGAACTCCACCATCCACACGTCTTCACTGTCCAGAACATTCTTATCAAAGCTGTCGTCTGTCAGCTCCACCACGTCCTTCTTACCGGAACTATCGCTTCTACCCTGTCACACAGGACAAATGGTGGACTACAATCTGACCAACACTCGCACACACATGTACATGTTCACATATGCATGCGTGTAAAATGAAACAATCGTTTTACACTCCGGGAGGCTTTTTGAGTTCTTTCGAGGTGCTGTGAATACCACCTCCTGCAGGCACCCTCCGCCAGTCACCACCGCACACAGCGCAGCACAGACCGTGACACACAGTCTGTTCTACAATTCCTTCACCTGCTATTCTGGTGAGAGAAAGCTTACGAGTGCTCTAAGAATCACCAGCCTAACACAGGAGCTCTCACCCTCGGGCACAGCCGCTGTCCCATCCCAGGACGCTCGATCTCTACGTAACTACAGTGATCACAGTCCACAGTTCGAGTCCATGCCATTAGCGACCTTCTTAATTTAATGCCCGCCTGCCTTCCTCCCTCCTTCCCTTCCTTCCTTTCTTGGGGTGCTGGGGATAAGACCCAAGACCTGCCCGAGGAATGCAAATGCGGTACCCCTGAACTACACCCCAGAACCCCTTTCCCCAATTTGTGGAAGGTGTTCTTCAGTACTAAGCTCAAGAAGCTCGCGGCACAGCGTCTGGCTGTTTCTACTGAGGATGCATGCGGAAGCTGAGCAGCCCGCTCGTCAAACATCCTGGTCTAAAATGAAAGGGAAGCACAGGACGTCTCTGGGTAGCTCAGACTTGGTACAGAGGAGCTGGCTTTCTTGGTTTCCTAAAAGACTGGAGAGCCATTTTATAAGCCTCTTTAATGCCTGCTTAGGAGGCAGAGATCAGGAGGATTGGGGCTTGAGGTCAGCCCCAGCAAAGAGCAATGAACAAGCCAGGAACAGTGGTACACATGTGTACCTCCGTGGATAGGACGGAGGACTGCGGTCCAAGGCTGGCCCAAGAGAAAAGAAAATCCTGGGCACAGCTCATGTCAGAGTGAGGCCTTGCTTAGCCATGGTTGAGTCCCAAAGTCTAAACGCTAGTACCACCCAAAATTAGAAAAAAGAAAATATTCGTACCTTTCCACAAGAGTACAGGTATATCATGGCTGAGATTCATATTTTATACCAAGGCATGCAAAATACCAGTTTCTGGAACAGAAACTTCTATTTCTTCCTCCTCTTCCCTATTCACCTGGGTAGAAGTTTCCATGGATTTCAGGCTTGCCAGATTTAAGTCAAGAACTTATGCAGCAAAAACTCCATCGCTGGGCCCCCGGCAGCCGCACTCGGGGGGCCTAGGACAGAGCGGCAGGTGCGGTGACTCAGGAGACCACATGCAGCGGGCACTGCCGCCAGGTGCAATCATGCCACACCCTTCCTGGTATTGCTTTTAACTAAATGCACACCAATTTAAAACATTAAGGGGAAGAACGCCACCTTCTACAGGAGTCCACATACTCAAGGCTACAAATCACGAGACAAATTCAGAGTTGAGTGCACACAGCCTTACTTGCTTTCCAGAAGTGTAGCCGCCGCTCCGGCCCGCAAGGCGGTCCTTCACCAGCTGGCGCAGAGCGCTGAGGGCGGCGTCCACTATGGCTTCACCGGTTCGGCCACCTGCAGGACGGCGAAGAGCAATGAGGGAAAGGCCCGGACAGCAGGCCTCCCCCGTGCATCTCTATGCATTCTCAGCCGCACCAGATGGCAAACAGAGCTAAGAGCGCCTGTGTGGATGACAGCACTTTCTCCCTACAGTGTGCTCCGCACAGCTGCCACCGAAACAGCCCATTTTCTTCTCTGGTCTGAGGTGATCAGCGTGATGGAGAGTTCCCCGCTCATCGTCTGTGCATTCCATGCACTCAAGAACACTTGGCAAACGATTACTGCACGGATCACATGTGCCGACAAATGAGCAGCTCATTACCTAGCTAGCAAAGCAGGGGAGTTTCCAAACATAGACATATTCCTATACTACAGCAAGCTGTGTGGGGAAATAAGCAAATGAAACACCTCGCAACTACAATGAAATCAAAGCCTTTTTGCATTTTTTATTGGTCCTGGGGCTTGGATTCAGGGCCTGGGCACTGTCCCTGAGCTTTTGTGCTCAAGGCTAGCACTCTACCACTTGAGCCACAATCTTATACTTATTCCATATTGCTGATTAAATGGAGATCGTGGTCCCACAGACCTTCCTGCCTGGGCTGGCTTCAAACAGCAATCCTTAGACCTCAGCCTGCTGAGTACCTAGGATTACAAGCTTAAGCCACTGGCACCCAGATGGTACCTTTTTTTTTTGTCCTGCTTATTTGAACTTAAGTTCCAAAGTGGTGTTAAAACTCACTGAGGCAGGCTGGGCACTGGTGGCTCACGCCTGTAATCCTAGCTACTCAGAAGGCTGAGCCAGCCCAGGCAGGAAAGTCCATGAGACTCTTATCTCCAATGAACCACCAGAAAACCAGAAGTGGTGCTGTAGTGCTAGCCTTGAGCTGAAGAGCCCAGTGACAGCACTCAGGCCCGGAGTTCAAGCCCCACGACCAAAAACAACAACGAAAAACAAAAACTACAGTATAGCACCCACACCCCTTTAAATGGTTTCAGTTAGCCATGATCTTGATTCAAGTGTGAGAGAACACACTAACTGTAACTACTGTGTATTGCCGTTGTTCTACTGTTAACTGGTATTGTCACCACTCTCCTATTACACATAATTCATAAATTAAGGCACATCTGTATACAAAATTAAGTCTATACAGAGTGTGATCCACGCTTGGCTATCATAGGGTCTTGGAATGCACCACACCCCGACTGAGACAGGGTGCAAAGCCCCTCAGAGCACAAGAGGCAAGATGAACAGACACAGACTCGCACTCCCCGAGGTGTCTTGTTGAGCAGAGCCTCTCCTCTGACCCTTCCCATGGAACACACCAATTCAGAACTACACTTGGGAAGGAAGGTCTTTCTGACACAGACCAGCACTAGGCAAGCTCTTTCTGTATCAGGCCAAATAAGAGCTGCTCTTCTAAGCAGCTCTGAGCATAGGTATGGCTGTGTTCCCCAAATCCCTAGTCACAAAAAGTGCCATGCAGGGCACTGATGGCCCACATCCATGATCCTAGCTACTCAGGAGGCTGAGAGCTGAGGATCACTGTTATGAAGCCGGCTTGGGCAGAAAATTCCTTGAGACCCTTAATGTCAATTAACTAGCAAAATGCCGGACTAGAGCAAGCAAGGTGAGCAAGATGGAGGGGCTGAGCTCAAACCACTAGACTGGCACCAAAAAGTAATTGGACAAAATAAAAATAAGACTTAAAAAAAAGAATGATGTATTTAAGGTCTTATTTCCAAGGATTTTTGGCCCCTAACTGGGGAGATCTATCAACTATGCTGACATGGAGCATGCACTGTCTCCTGTGCTTACAGCTAACACGAGGGCTTTCGTGCAGAGCAATGAAATGCTACTTAGTTTGGAGAGGCCTGCAGTAAGGCCAGCAGCAGTTACACCAGGCTGGACTGCCTTAGCTCCCAAGTTCAAGGTCTACAGATCCCACGCCCACTAGCCTCATTCTTTATCAGCAGTACCCCACAGGGAACACCAAAGGCAGGCACCCTGACAACTCTGTTTCTGTGCTGCAGACTCTCCTACTGCCCAGGCTCTCTGGTTACACCAGCAAAAACAATAGTGATACGCTTTATGTGGCAAAATCTTGTGAGAATTTAATCAACCTGGCCACAATGTAAGCTTTAAACCGAGTAGGCTCAATACTTTCATTAGGACCACTACTGATCTGGCCATTCTGACCATCTTATGTAAATAACCTATTTATGGGATCTTCTTGGGGTTGGTGTGTGGTGCTAGGATCTTACCTAGAGCCCTGTCTATGCCAAAGGTATTCTCCACACTGAGCTGCACCACCAGCCTGTTCAGGATGTCTTATAATTAGGAACAGAACCATTCTATATAAGAATGGTGCGACTAGAATAACATGAGAGTTTGGAGCCAGAACTCTCTAGCTGCTGCAGTGACTCATAGCAAACACTCACAGTTTATTTATCTGCAAGACAAGAACTGCAAGTGTCCATTTCCAATAGTTTAAGAGAAAAAGAACAGCTTTCATATTCAAATGTTATAAGTCATAAAGATCCATGAACAAAATACCACATAAGTAAGTGTACAATAACTTGCAAATCACAGGCTCTTCTTTTTCACTGATTTGCTAGGTCCTACTCCCAGAGTAAAGGGAAGAACCCCCCACAGATCTTTATCAAGTGTTAAGTAATTGTGATGATGACACAGCCATGAAGGTAAGGTAAGGTAAGGTACTCCTGGCAAGGTGGTGTGGGTCTAAACTAGCATAACTTATCATCATCATCATCTTAGCTGTAGAATGCTTTGATATTCAAAACTGTGCCATCTCTAGACAGGGAACTTCAGCATAAATGAGGCTAAGAAGGTTGCAGGGCTGGGCTAAGTTACAGAATCATGCTAGGTTCTCTCCTATAAGCCAATCCTGTTTAGGGAAAGTCCTTACCCTGATAATCTTCAGGTTTGTTTTTGTTTGCTCCAAAAATCTTGATGGTAGGAAATCCCTGAACACCATACTGACCTCCAAGGGACTGGTGTGTATCTGCATTGACTGCACCCACTTTTACAACATCCTGTGGAAACATAAGCGTTTTCTGTTTTTCCTTCAATTGAAAGCATCATCTGATTCTGGTAGAAGGAAGAAGCCAGTGAAATCACAAGTGATCCGCAGAAGAGGTTAGCCCTAAACACCAGCGCACTCAAGGAGGGGAGGGGGCTGATGGGTAATGAACTCAGCAGCCTTCACGACAGGACTGACAGGAGCCATACCATTCATCTGGGAAGCAGAATGAACCAAACCACACAACATGAAAAATAAAGTATGTGATTTTGCCTTTTGGACTGATATGCAAATTAACTCCTCAGTGAACATTAACCCATCTGCACACTTAAAACACAAACAGGTAACTGTGAAAATCTCAGAACTTACTTTCAATGCAGTTGCTGCTTTCTTCCATTCTGGAGTTAATCTTTGGCAGTGACCACACCTTGCAGGGGGAAGAAAACACCATCAGGTGACAGTTAGAAACCTCAGGTCCCCTGAATTCATAAAACATCCACCAATGGTCAATAGGGGAGATGCACCAAGGCCGAGGCTCGCAGAAGGATGAGCACTGGTAAAGGAGGGTGGAGGACCTGAGGACATTTTTTTTCCCCTGAGCTCCTTTTGCTCAAGGCTAGCACTCTACCACTGAGCCACAGCTCCACTTCCAACTTGACCTGAGATTAAATGGAGATAAGTTTCACAGACTTTCCCACCCGGGATGACTTCAAACTGTGATCCTCAGCTCTCAGCCTCCTGTGGAGCTAGGATACAGGTGTGAGCCACCAGTGCCCAGCAACTTAAGATATTTTATTACTTATGGTAATCATTTTGTATACCATCATCTCAATGTTTAATAAACTCTACTGCTTGCTCACTCTATCCTGGAATATGCCTATAAGAGCCTATCAAGTCTGATGTGTGGACCTACAAGGCTAGGCAAATGAAGATACTTGGGCCTCAGAAATCAGTCTCTAGAAAAGGAATCTGCATTTTTAGGAAGTTCTATTCTGAGCTTAAATCTATTAGGGGCTGACGCTCTTGATTTGACCTTTCCTTTTCTTTTTAATTTTTCCTTGTTATTATGAAGGTGATGAACGGCAGGGAAGCAGTTCACAGGTCAGGTAATGAAGGTGATGAGTGCATTTCTTCTTGGACAATGTCAATCCTTTCCTCATCCTCTCCTGGCTTTTCCCTCCTGTCCCCACTCACAAGTTATATAGTTTGTTTTCAACATACAGTTTTTGGGTTTTTGCTGGAACAGGGTCTTACTCTGTAGCCTAAGCTGGCCTTGAACCTGCGACCCTCCTGCCACAATCTCTTCTGTGCTGGGAGTACAGGCATGTACCAGCACATCCAGCTCGAATCTTTCATTTCACTTCATTTTGGCCAGTCCTGGGGCTTGAACTCTGGGCGCAGGCACTGTCCCTGAGCCTCTTTGTGCTCAAGGCTAGTGCTCTACCACTCAACCCTTTCATTTTAGACAGGCATCTGTCCTGGATTTCCTGTGCTTATGATATCTCAACACTCTACCACCACAAGTCATTTTGAGAGTGAAAAGTGCATATTCAAACCCAAGTAAGTAGGGGCTGGGAAGATGGCTTAGTGGCAGAGTGCTTGCCATGCATGCATGAGGCCCTGGGTTCAATTCCTCAGCACCACCTAAACAGAAAAAGCTAGAAGTGGCACTGTGGCTCAAGTGGTAGAGCGCTAGCCTTGAGCTGAAGAGCTGAGGGACAGTGCCCAGGCCCAGAGTTCAAGCCCCATCACCAACAAAACAAAACAAAACATTAAACCCAAGTAAGTAAACCTAACAGGTTTAAAAGCATGTGATATCACAAAGGGCAATGTACGTGGGGTGGGGGCGGGGAGGGCGGCAGAGGGAGGGAGAAGACAGGGGAAAACCCTACATCATCTTGTAGGTTCCAGCACTTTGAAAAAATTGTGAAACACAACACAGAAAAGCACTTGTGAAAAATTACACACACACACACTCATGCTTCTCTCAGTCATTAAGCTGTAGGTAGCTACACTGTATATTTTCACTGCTCCGTTTTATGCACATACCACAGATTACTCATACATATCTGGTGTATTTTTTCCAAAAGTTAGTCTTCTTCTCTAAGGGCCTGATAAGCAAATACCATGTGCCAGCACCACACAGGATTTCATCAAGCCCCCGGAAAGCCCGAGGCAAGTTCTGGCACTACTTCCATTTTACAAAGCATCACACGGAGACAGAAGAAATACAGCTGCCACCACACAGCCGTGGACGATGGTGTCTGTCAGGTTCATCTTTTGTTTATGTGGTGCTGGGGATCAAACTCAGGGCTTTATGCAAGCTAAACTTCAACTCTACCATCGAGCTACACCTTCAACCAAACCAGTTTTTCACTCTAATATCATGCTCTGTTAAGAACCTAGGCTCCCACAGCGGGAGAGTCACGCTGGATGGGTGCTCGCGTGCCCGCGCGCCGCGCAGTGCACCCGCACACATGGGTGGTTTGGGGCAGGGCGTGGTCTGCCCTCAGGGCTCTGCACTGCCCCTGCTGAACCCCATGCATTTTTGCATATTTTCCATTCATTTGTTTCTATTCTTGTGGGGGGGTTTGCATTAAATGCTTAGTTACACAAACAGCCCTGCACTGTGCTGACCATACACAATTATGCACGTGAGTGTAATGATAGTTACGTGGCATTTTGGCTGTACAGAGGTTTGAACCTCAGGGCTTGCTTGCATGTGTGGCAGGCTACTACCACTTGAGCCAATCTGGCCCTTTTAGCTCTGGCTATTTTAATGATTAAAAGTCCTGTTTTGGGCCTAGGGAAAAAAACCTGGGCTGGTCTTGAACTTAGATCTTCCCAACCTATACCTCCTGGGTAGCCAGCATTAAAGGCAAGAACCACCAGGAGTCTGGTCTTTTTTCTTCGAGCTAGGGTCTCACTGTGTAACAAGGCTGTCCCTGAACTTGCTAGCTCTTCTCTTCCCTTTGCTTAGGATTCTTTGCTCATGTGCCATTTGCCTCTTCTCTACCTCTTTTCAGTGAGCAACGGACTAACACAGATTAGACTCGGAACAAAACCAGCTTTTCATATGATCCCCTCAAGTTCATAAAGGACCAGAAGTCTTCTCTAAATACTTTGTAATACTTACCACGGAGCATAGAATTCTACAAGCCACAAACCGTTACTCTGAATAACTTCCCTGTTGAAATTTGATGGCGTTAACTCGATGACATCATCACTAGAGGAGTAGAGACCACTGACTGCCAGAATCAAGGTACAGCTCACCAGACCTAGAATGACAACGGAAGCACGCAGTGATGACGCTGTTTACATCAAGCCCCCAAGGATGGCGGGGCCTGGCGGGCCAGCCCTGGGCACCGGTCCTTCCCTGCTGCAGCTGGGGCCCATGAACTTCACTCCCACGGCGCAGTGCCGAGCAAGGAGGAACGGCGCTGGAGAAGACTTAAGCACTATGTTTTGCATTTCCCATGTACTAACACCTGCATTCTCTGCAACCATCTCTGTCGGAGCACTGTTACATTGCCACTTTAGAGACACTGAAACACTGACAGGTTGTATCTTGTTGTAGGACCTTGAGCTGTCCACACTATTTATCCCTTTATGTATTACTCTATTACATTGCACGCTGTCTTTATTAGAACTTTTGTTTAAGGGAAAAACAACTGTCTCCATTACCTGACTGTGGTGGCAATGAAGGGCATTGTTTGTTTATATCTATTTTTATTTTTATTGGTGGTATGGGGGATTAAATTTGGAGCCTTGAGAAGGAGAGTATTCTAGAGATTAGCCATACTCTATTTCTTTTGCTTTTAGGTTTTGAGATAGAGGATAGCCTCTGACCACAATCCCCATGCTGCCTCCTGAACAGCTGGGATTAGAGCATGCACCATCACATCTGGCCCTTTACATTCACCTACATTGTGCATAGCACATTTTCAAGCTTTCATTGTTGTTGGATGAGCATATTACTATGTAAATGATGCCATAAAAGAAGGTATGAAGCTGGGTGCCAGTGGCTCATGCATGTAATCCTAGTTAATCAGGAGGCTGAGATCTTAGGATACCAGTTCAAAGCCAGCCCAGGAAGGAAAGTCCATAAGATTCTTATTTCCAAAGCCAGCTGTGGCTCAAGCAATAAGAGTGCAACCTTGAGCAAAAAAGCTTAGCTAAGGGCAACTCCCAGGCCCCGAGTTCAAGCCCCAATACTGGCATGCGCGCGCATGCCAGTACAGACACGTCTACTGTATTGCTGTTAGCACGGTTTAGCCATACATAGATCAAATATACTTTTGTTGGCTACCCCGAGAACTTAAGGGCACTTATACCAATTGTATGAGAAATAATTCTGAACTACTATATTAAGAACACAGAAAGTTTTTTATTTTTTGTCGGTTTTTGAGGTAGGGTCTCACTATGTAGCCCAGTCTGGCCTTAAGCTCAAAATCTTCCTGCCTCAAGCTTCCCAAATGTTGGGATTACAGGTAGGCTGTGCTTGCCTGTCTTCTGAGGCAGAGTGACTATGCCCTCTTCATCATGTTTTCACATGCTGAACTTGTAGACAGGATTTGAAGGATTTCAAATGAACTCAATGGTAGATTTTGTCTGCACTATACACCAAGGTTACTGTCACCTGTCTAAATTCTCTGTCACATACCATTTTCAATGTTCAAGTCCATAAGACACTTGATTTTTCCAAGGTAATAAGAATGCAGAAAGTATCTTCCTGTGTAAGTAAACAAAGGAAGGAAGAAAGGCTGCCCTATGATCATGGCTCCCCTATGATCATGCAAACACATGGTACAATTCCCTCAATTATCTCTAAACTTTGCTCATTTAACTAGGTTACACTTATGAGAAAATGGCTCAGTATAACTTGGGTAACAGTAAACACACTAATCAAGAACACTGCATTGGAATCATAGATACAGCTAATATTTGAAGAACTTAGAAAGATGGGGTAGCAACAGTAACCAACAGAGAGGTACGCAGGGAAGACCGATGACTGCCATTAGATTGACTGATGCCCATGACTGTCTCCTGCCTGCTGAGGCAGCAGACTGAAAATCTCCTACAGCTGAGGCAGCACAGTGAAAATCTCCCATGGCTGGAGAACACATGTAACTCTGTAATCGAGTTTTGTTACTAAGAGTAGGAAAACTAGCTCAGTGAGAGGAGTATTAGACTCTTTAAAAAAAAAAAGCAGGAAAGAACAAGTAACTATAGGGTAGAGGAAAGTATCTTCTTTTAAAAACACTTTTTATTAGTATACATTAGTTGTACACAGGGGACTTCACTTTGACATCTTTATACATGCATACAAAGCACCAATAGACTAGTAAAGCAGCCTAGCTAGTAAGGCAAAGTTTAATCCTCAGTACCTGGGGGAAAAAAAGAGGGGGGGGTCTGGATAGCTGTGGGATTCTACTTCTGTTTCGTAAGACCAGGTCTCACTACTTTGCTATGTAGCTCAGACTGGCCTAGAACCCTTATATGCCTGAATGCTGGCACTGCAGGTAGGAGGAATCACATCCAGAGTTCTACTACTCTAAAAGAAGTTTTGGGTTTTTTGTTTTTTTTTTTCATTCTTTTGTTGGTCGTGAGGCTTTGAACTCTGGGCCGAGGTGCTGTCCCTGAGCTCTTCTGCTCAAGGAGAGAGCTCTTCCACTTGAGAGGTTAATTGGAGGTAAGAGTCTCACAGACTTTCCTGCCCTGGCTGGCTTTGAACGATGATCTTCAGATCTCAGCCTTCTGAGTAGCTATGATTACAGGCATGAGCCACTGGCACCTGGTTATGTAAAAGAAGTTTTTTTAAAAAAATAAACAGTTCGGAACTGATATGTATTCAATACATTGAATCTATTGTGAAATTTTCTTTGTTTTTAGTAATTTTTTAAAATTTTATTTCATTTCTTTTTTTGTGTATGTGGTACTGAGGAATTGAACCAGGACCTCATGCATGCTAGGCAAGCATTCTACCACTAAGCCACCTTCCCAACCCCTAATGTGAAATTTTCTAAATTGGAAAAAGCAAAAGAGAATATTACAGGCATTTTGCATTTAAGGAACAAGGATTACTTATTACCTCCAATACAATCGAGGAACCATCTTCCAAATCTACTACAAACTGAATTATTTAAAATTTTTTACTTGTAACAGTTCAATGCTGAAAACTCTTCTACCCCCTCCCCAATGACTGTGTCATTAAGATTTTTAAACAAGGTCTCAGGAAATACGGCTTGCCATTTTGTCCAACTGCCTTCCAGAAAGATTTCCTTTTAAAGGAAAAGAGGCTTTACAACAAAACAGGCTCATGTCTGTAATCTTACCTACTAAGAGGGTAAGATCTGAGGATCCCGGTCTAGAGCCAGTCTGGGCAGACCAATCCATGAGACTCATCTCCAAATAACCAGCAAAAAGCTGGAAGTAAGACGTGTGGTTCAATTGGTAGAGTGCTAGCCTTCAGAGAAAAAGCCACGGGAGAGCTCGAGGCCCTGAGTTCAAGCCCCGGTACCAGCACAAAAAAACAAAACCAATCCATAAATAAGTGAATAAATAGGAGAAAACACGCATGACCGTATACTGGCATTGTTCTAAGCATCTAACACACTTAAGTCACTAAAAAATTCTATAGGCTGCATAGCAGCACGCCCATTTTATACACTAGGAAACAGACATGGAATGCAGGAGACATAATAAGGAAATGGAACATGGCCACATAAGCCACACTTCCCACCAAGGGCTGGGAGGGTGCAGAGGTGTGACGGGGAGCATCCCTCCATTCCGTACACACGCAGACGGAAGATGCTTCCATTATCCTGGGCAATCAGGGGCAGCCGTGAACGAGCACTCTCTCCTTCCCACCCCAGGGCTTGGCCAAGACCCCCAACCTCCTCGGGAATGTGCTTCTTCTCCAATGAAGGTGGTCAGGACTACTGACCATCTAGCATGGGCTTTGTGGTCTTCTTGTATGTGTGTGTGTCTTGTAAAGGTGGGGACTTGTATCTAACTTTAAATTTCAGAGTTCTTTCAAATTTCCCCTCCTTAGAAATGACAAGCCAATGAAATGTCCTGATCAAAGGTTTGGGATCTAAGTCCTTAAATGGAAAGATGGCATTTATAGGGTAAGATCTAACAGCATAAAGTAGCCCATAACCGTCTCCAGGCAATTAAACCAATCGATTAAGATGACAAAGTAGAGCAATGCTAACCAGTGAATGTTCTCTTTCTAAAATTCAAATTGCCATTCAACTCAGTGGTAAGAGGCACTTGCTTGCAAACTGGAAGATCCCGGTGTCCAGGGAGCCGATGCCAGTTTTGCCATCAGTGGCTTCCTTGTCCTCCGGGGCAATTAAGAGTGTCACAAATTCACGTCTGTCCCACCCTGCTAGCAACTGTGCGGCCCAGAGCAACCATCCAGAAATCAGGCGCTCCCCCAAAGACTGGCTACATCTATTAGATTAGAACTATGTGCTGCTGAGAGAATTACAGTCCTTCAGAACCTAATCTGAATTTACCCAGGGAAGGAAACAGACCAAAATCTTCCCGCGTCCCCTCTACAGATCATAGCAAGGCACCAGCTCACACCTCGTAATCAACCCTAGCTTCTTAGGGGGCTGAGATCGGAGGACCTCAGTTCCAAGCCAGTCTTGAGTGAAAAGGGTAAGGGGCATCACTTAGGTCCTGAGTTCAAGCTTCAGTGCCAACACACACACACACACTCTCTAGCAAGTACTCTTACCTCGCTTCTCTTGAACGCGGACTAACTCACTAACCCCGCAAAGTGCCATTGTCCACCCCAGAGCGTGGACGCAAAAGCACCGCCCGGAGGGGTTCGGGACCTGGCGCGCGGGGCGGGCGCGGCGGCCGAGAGCCCGGCCAGCCCGGGGGACGCGGCCCTCTGTGGTCGGGGAGAACGGCCGGTCGCATCTCTCCGGGCTCCGGCCCTCCCGACCCCCGCAAGTGCGGGGACACGGCAGGCGCTCTCGCCCGCCTTTGGGTGGCACCGATCGGCCCTTGGCCGAGATGCCAGTTTTTTGGAGCACGAGCTGCACCAACGAAGCGGTGGCAGGGAGCGGGCGGCGCGACCCCGACGCACCGGGCCGGAGCGGGGGCCGGGCCCGCCGCTCCCCTCCCCCGGCTCGACCCCCGGGCCTCGGGGGCCCCGCCCCGCCCCGGCCTGGCGATCCCCGGGCCTCCGACCCGGGTCCGCTTCCGCCGGCGGCAAAGCCCCCAAAGACCGGCCGGGCGCCCCTCTGCCGGGGCCCAGGCGAGGCCCGGCGTGGCAGGGCCGGCCCCGCTCCCCCAGAGTGCTTCGGGACGCCCCGCTGCGCCCCCCACGCGGCCGCCCGCCGACCCGCCGGCCCGCCCGCCGCCGGCCCGCGCCTACCGAGCCCCAGGACAGCCATGCCGAGCGCACGCCACTCGGTCCGCGCCGCCGCCGACTCAGCTCCGCCGCGCCGCGCCCACGTCCCGCCCTCGGCCGCAGAGAAGCAGTGCGGCGGCGCGCGGGGCGGGGCCGGAAGGGCTCGCCGTGCCGTGGCCACAGCTCATTGGTTCCCATGGACTTCGCTCACCCACCTGGCCAATAGACGGCAGCCGGGTAGAGGTTACCGGTTTGGTTTTTTTTTCCACGGGGGAGGCGGCAATTGGGGGGAATGGGGGTGGCTTGGGGCGTGGCCTGGGGCGGAACCGGAAGGCGTGGTTCGGGGCGGGGCCTGGGGCGGGGCTGACGCCTTGCCTTGTGTCCCGGGTCCGAGGTCTTGCGTCGTCTTTCCCGGGACCCGGTGCTAGGATACCTTTCGCTCAGTCCCTTCACTTTCCCGCCGTGGCCTCTGGTGTGACCGCCTTCCTGAGCTGAAGCCCGCGGCCGCAGCGAACAGCACGCTAAGGCTTCTTGTATTCAGGCAAAAACCAAAAAACCCTTGCTAAACGTGCTCGACGGCTAGCAGAAGCGACGTCTTGGTGCCGTTGGTGCCGGCTCTGTTCCTGCGTCGAGGCCCCGCTCGTCTGCAGAGCAGCGCACGCGCACGCGCACGCGCACCGCCTGGGGCTCCGGGACCCTGTCGGCTTGTGTCCGCGGCGTCTCCTTCTGTGTCCTGGGCTCCTCGCCGTGTGTGCGCGTGGACGGGTGTTCTGCACACTTGCTGTGTGTGTGTGCGCGTGCGTTCTGCACACTTGCTGTGTGTGTGCGCGTGCGTTCTGCACACTTGCTGTGTGTGTGCGCGTGCGTTCTGCACACTTGCTGTGTGTGTGCGCGCGTGCGTTCTGCACACTTGCTGTGTGTGCGCGCGTGCGTTCTGCACACTTGCTGTGTGTGTGTGCGCGTGCGTTCTGCACACTTGCTGTGTGTGTGCGCGTGCGTTCTGCACACTTGCTGTGTGTGTGCGCGTGCGTTCTGCACACTTGCTGTGTGTGTGTGCGCGCGTGCTTTCTGCACACTTGCTGTGTGTGTGTGCGCGCGTGCGTTCTGCACACTTGCTGTGTGTGTGTGCGCGCGTGCGTTCTGCACACTTGCTGTGTGTGTGTGCGCGCGTGCGTTCTGCACACTTGCTGTGTGTGTGTGCGCGCGTGCGTTCTGCACACTTGCTGTGTGTGTGTGCGCGCGTGCGTTCTGCACACTTGCTGTGTGTGTGTGCGCGTGCGTTCTGCACACTTGCTGTGTGTGTGTGTGCGCGTGCGTTCTGCACACTTGCTGTGTGTGCGCGCGTGCGTTCTGCACACTTGCTGTGTGTGTGCGCGTGCGTTCTGCACACTTGCTGTGTGTGTGTGCACGTGCGTTCTGCACACTGGCTGTGTGTGCGCGCGTGCGTTCTGCACACTTGCTGTGTGTGTGTGCGCGCGTGCGTTCTGCACACTTGCTGTGTGTGTGTGCGCGCGTGCGTTCTGCACACTTGCTGTGTGTGTGCGCGTGCCGTGCCGGCTGCTGCCCCAGCCATCCTCAGATCTCAGCTGGGCCTTCAGGCGGGAGCCACCGGGGTCGCACAAGTAGCCAATCACACATTGAGGCCGAGCCCCCCACGTCTTTCCCTCTCTCCCGCCCGCTTTGGTCTTCGGAGCCGCTGGTTTTGCATTCTTGGCTTCTGTGTAGGGGTAATATATATGGACGGCTGCGACTGGCCCAAGCTTTCGTAGGCACAGGCGTCTAGCAGCGCGGTGGGTGGGTGGGGGGCTTCCTGGAGGAAACGCCCCTAGAGCTGGGGGAGGTTTACCAGGCACCCCACCCCCCTCCAGTCACTCAGAGGAGTCTTGTCCTGTCAGCCCCAGGCCAGCTCTGCTGACTGAGGGAGGCTGCCTGTCCCTGGGGCAGGAAACCTCAGCTCTGCTTCCCAGGGGGCTCTGCCCCTGCCCCCGAGCCCTCTGGGAAGTCCAGCCGGTAATCTTAGGCCTGATTGTGGCTGGAAGTAGAGGGATGTGGCTTGGGACACCCAAGCAGGCCTGTCTGACCTCCCTGCAAGAGAGGGCTTGGGGATGAAATGGCGCTTTACTGAAATACACCTTTCCAGACGAAGACTACAGTGAAGGCGCCCTCTCTCTCTCTCTCGCTCTCTCTCTCTCTCTCTCTCTCTCTCTCTCTCGCTCTCTCTCTCTCTCTCTTCTAGCAGCCTACAAAGTCATCCCCAAATGTAGGAATTTGGTTTTGATGGCTCACACAGCATTGGTCATTTCCTCCCGTATCCCAGCTCCCACAAGGCTCTGATGATGAGGTTTGCATCCCAAGGTTGGGAGCTGAGCCCACGTCTCCAGGCCTGCTTTGGGAAGGCCTCAGTCCTGCTCAGCACTGTGCCTTCTGACAGTGGCGATGCATCCCGGGCTGGCCATGACCAGTGGGGGCCTCTGTCCCAATCCACCTCGGAGCTGAGCATCATGGAGAAGCAGAGGCAGGATCATAACTCCTTGGCACGGGCTGTTCTGGGTTGTGGGGTGAACATCTCCACAGAGCATTCTGTATACATACAGCCTCCCAAGTGTCGCATGATTATTTTCTGCATTATTACAAAGCGCATGTCAGCGGCCTGTGTGGGCCCAGTACTGTTCCAGGCACTGCACTGGCCCAGGGTGGTCACAGCCCGCAGAGGACAAAGACACATTGTACTGCCCTGTCCTCCAGTCTCACCAGGGGAAGCCATTCGTACCATGAACTCACAGGATTCCTTTCTTGGCTTTTTTTTTTTTCACTGTGATAAAATAATTGTTTTTTACTCCCTCGTGCTGGGGATTAAACCCAGGGCCTCGCACTTGCCAGGCAAATGTGTTGCTTTTTAGGGTATAATTTCCATTTTATTTACTTTTCCCCAGAAGACAGTTTTTCTTTAGCCCTTAAGGATCTAGATCCTGGGGCTGGGAAGGTGGCTCAGTGGTAGAGCGCTTGCCTTGCATGCCTGAGGCCCTGGGTTTGATTCCTCAGCACCACATAAGCAAAAAGAAAAAAGCCGGAAGTGGCGCTGTGGCTCAAGTGGTAGAGCGCTAGCCTTGAGGTAAAGAGCTAAGGGACAGCGCCCAGGCCCAGAGTACAGGCCCCACGACTGGACCCAAAAAAAAAAAAAAAAGATTAAAAAAAAAAAGGATCTAGATCCTTCCACAGGGTTTGGTGGAGGTCATGGGGCAGCCCCAGCAGGGCTAAACCAGGGTGTGGTGCGTGGGGGGCAAGGGGGGAGTTGTTTTTGGACCTTGCTGGGATGGCATAGTGCGCACGCACAGGACCAGAGCTTTGCATAGCGCTTGGGAAACAAAGAAAGCGCTGAAGACATGCGCTTCACAAATCTCCCTGATGGCTGCGGCCTCCACTGTGTTCTGAATGACCGGCCACGGCCCTTTGGGGCCGGGATATTGTTCCGTCGGTGTTTCATTGTCTTGGGAGCCAGGACCAGAGAGAGAGCCAGGCATGGGCTCTTATGATTGAGCTACAACCAACTCATTTTATGCATTTGTGTGTGTGTGTGTGTGTGCGTGTGTGCGCACGCGTGCGTGTATGGCTCTAGGGCTTGAACCCAGGGTTTGTCTGGGTGTGCTCCTTGGCTATTTCTCTCAAGGCATGCTCTGGTGGTTCATCGGAGATAAGAGTCTCATGGGCTTTTCTGCGAGGGCTGACTTTCAAATGCAATCCTCAGATCTCAGTCTCCTGAGTTGCTAGGCTTGTTTTGATTTTAGGTGCACAGTCCCAGCGGGCACAGCCGGCACCCTCTCCCTACCCTCCATTTTCCTTTGTCGCACAGGAACTCCATCCTTACCCCACATGCCTGCCTTTCTCCACCTCCTCGAGGCCATATGTTCTATCTCTATGAATCAAGTTACTCTATATGCTCACTGCTTGTCTCTGTGATTTACTCTATGGATTTCACATGAGCTGGGGCATGCGGTACTTGTCCTTTTTCAGGTCTAGCATGTTTGCTATGTACAGTTAAGTCTGTATATTGGTATACATGTATTCCAGGTTAATTTGTAGTGTAGCATGTGTCAGAATTCCTGACTGCAGGGCTGGAATGTGTCTTAGTGGCAGAGCACTTGCCTAGCATGCATGAAGCCCTGGGTTCGATTCCTCAGTACATACACAGAAAAGGCCAGAAGTGGTGCTGTGGCTCAAGTGATAGAGCGCTAGCCTTGAGCAAAAGAAGCTCAGGGACAGTGCCCAGGCTCTGAGTTCAAGCCCCAGGACTGGCAAAAAATAAAAAAATCCTGACTGTATCATTTTCCATTGTATGAATCTTTCTGCTTGGTCTTCGCCATTTTCTCTTTCGCAACGGGAGGGCTGTTTGTTCCAGCTCAGAGGGGCCATCCATCATGGTGGGAAGCAGAGAGAAAGGGAGGAGGGATCAAGTAGAGCCTCCTAAGAGCCTCTAAAAACACACCCCTAGCAGCCCACTTCCTCCAGCCAGACTCACCCTCAGACTTTCCCCCATCTCCCCAAATAGTGCTACCAGCCAGGAACCTAGTATTCACACTATAAGCCCGTGGGGACATGTCAAACCGAAAGCAAAGACTCCACCCACCCCCCCCCATCCCCGCCTCCCCATGCCCAGGATATTGCGCATGAGCACAATGCAAAGCGTGCTTAGTCTATCTTTAAGACTTCTGGTCTCAGCAATTCCAATGTCATTCAGCAGCCCAAATCCAAGCCTGCAATCCTTGCTAATCAGGAGGCTGAGGTCTGAGGATGGAGGTTTAGGGTTTAAGAATCAGGGTTTGGGTAGGGAAGGCTGTGAGATTCTTATGTCCGATTAACCACCGAAAAAGCCAGATGAGGATGTATAGCTCAAGAGGTAGGGAGCCAGCCTTGAGCAAAAGAGTCAAGCGGGAACACAAGCCCCTGGGCTGAAGCGGGCTCACCCACAGAAAAAGAGTGCAAAGCTAAAATCCCTTCTGAGACTTGAGGCAAATTCTTAGCTGTGAGTCCTGGTCAATAAAAAATAAGTTGCTTAATTCCAGCAAACAATGATACAAAGTAAACACTTCTGTTCCTGTGAACAGCC